CCCCCACGACCCTAGTGAGGATTAAGCGGTGTATAGATAATGGATGGATGTTAAATTATGGCACATCCCGTACCAAAAACACTTCCATCCTGTTGCCAAATTTGTAATTCTGAAATCTGATGCAGTTTGTTATTCCATTTTTCCAAAGCAGTTCTGTGAAGCAGCAAACATATAATCGACTGTTCTGACTTTTCCTTTGTCTCTGCAGGGATTAGCTCACTTGCACGCTCATCACGTCATCCACCGTGACATCAAGGGACAAAACGTGCTGCTGACTGAAAACGCTGAGGTCAAACTGGGTAAGAGTTGGTTTTATTTTGCTTTAAAGTGCGGCTTCAGACCGAGGCTGTAAACAGGGAGTCTGCAGTGAGGTTTGGACGACTGCAGCACCAGATTTGACTCAGCACTCTGCCGGTTTGCCAACTGGAGCTTTTGCATTACCAGTGTTGTATTCTAATGTTTCACATGAGTGCACAGTTGCAGAGCTGCACAAAAAGTTTGAACAGTCATTTGCAGACACAAGAAAACAGGACTTTGATACAGTTTACCCAGTTATAGACGGGCAAGTTTTCTTGCTGCCCGGTTGTGGATGTCATGGTCAATATTTTAACTTGCAAAAAAATGAAAAAAAGCTCCTGTGTTTGAATCTTCCCCTGATTAATCTGTTTATCATTTCTTTAATTATCTACAATTAGATTACTGTTTGTAACCAAAGTCCTCTTTGTGACCTTGCTTATTGCTGTCCTGTGACACGCAGTATGAACCACATGTCTCCACTGTGGCGACAGAAAAACACTCCAGGATTCAGCTAAGAGGAGGCGAAACAGAGACTTAGACCAGAACAGCATCTTGACCTTTAACACTCTGAGTCAGGAGTCAAAACCGACCCGAGTGTGTTCAAGTTAGAGGGACAGAAAATGTGTACAAGTTTTAATTAACACGGATCATAGAGCAAGTGACTCTTATTTAGCTTTAGTGCTGAAATGCATGAATTAAATCACTCCTCTTACAATCTTTGTCTGCTTTCGAACAGGATCTGAACTGTCTTCTGTGATCTCATTTGCAACCCTTCGAGGTCTTGCCCTGTTTTGGCCATTTTTTAGTTCTATACCACATAAAGACATGTTTACCATGCCCATGTTTGGTATCTGTTTTTTCAGCACATCACCTATATGAATTATTATTTTTTTAACCATAAACTACTATATTAACATATTGGGCCCAATAACACACAAAAATATCTAATTTATTACAATAAAAAAACACAGGGATGGTTAACAAAGCATTTTAAATGTTGAAAATGTAAACATAGCTTACAGATATCAACATAAAAAGGTCAAATTGATCAAACTTTATAAAAATATTTCCCTTAGAAAGCATGTGTTCCTTCAAGCATGTTTTGGTCTAAGTGCCATTCTTCAAAACAGCTTGTGAACAAAATAATCCAGAGAGCAGCATCCCTGCTTTGCATTTCCAGAGTTTCAAATAGTGCAACATGTAACTGCTAAACATGAGCCATATAAAATGGTTCCCTTAAGGTTCTCCTATACAATGTTTGTAAATTGATTTTGCATGATTGGCCAAATGCTTAAACACATGACTAGCTGCTGTTGCGAACCAATAATAATGGATTTTGCTCGTGTTTTCCTCAGTGGACTTCGGTGTGAGCGCTCAGCTGGACCGGACGGTGGGTCGGAGGAACACCTTCATCGGGACGCCATATTGGATGGCTCCAGAGGTCATCGCCTGTGATGAAAACCCTGATGCCACCTACGACTACAGAGTAAGAACAGAACCTGGATCCAGGTTACATGCTGCAGGATAAATCTGGGATCAAGTGGTGTTTGAGAACCACTGCTCGAACTCCTCCTTGGTTGGAATAGACATTTATAAACCCTAACTAATCTAATGTTCTGTCCCTCAGAGTGACCTGTGGTCCTGTGGAATCACGGCCATAGAGATGGCTGAGGGAGCTCCCCGTAAGTACACATTGTGCTTGTTTGGCATTCACAAAACATTAAACAGTACATTTACTGGTGTAGTTATTGTAGAATCGTAGTATTGCTGCTTTCTTTCAGCCTCTGCTCTGCACGGCTTATTTTTGCCACTGAGTTGCTCCAATTTTGAGTGACATCTAGAGTTTTACAGCTCAAAACAAGAAAAAGATGCCATTTTCTACAACTTCTGCCAATAAAGTTAAACCTTATGAGTTCGTGGTGATGACAGATACATGGAAACGTTTAAGAAATGCAAATAAATGTTGTAACACGGATGCTATCAGTCGAAGTAACAAAAGTACATGTTAACTTGAACACATCATTCCAGTGTCACGACTGACTTAATCTTTTTATTCCTATTCTGAGAGAATCACAAAGGCACTAAAACATCTGTCTATAATGTATGATTTTAACTTATCTGTCTTTTTGTTTGCTTCCTACAGCTCTGTGTGACATGCACCCAATGAGAGCCCTCTTCCTCATTCCTAGAAACCCTCCTCCTCGACTCAAGTCCAAAAAATGGTGGGAACATTTTTCACCTTTGTCCCCTTTTTTCCAAAAATATCTCTTGTAATATCAAAAAAGTAGAGTAGCTCACATGTAACTGCGCCAACAGGTCGAAGAAGTTCTTCAGCTTCATCGAGGGCTGCCTGGTGAAGAACTACACCCAGCGTCCTCCCACCGAGCAGCTGCTCAAACACCCCTTCATCCGGGACCAGCCCAACGAGAGGCAGGTCCGCATCCAGCTCAAAGACCACATCGACCGAACCAAGAAGAAGAGGGGCGAGAAGGGTGAGTCCGGGAGGGAGATGTGTGCTTTTGTCACTGCTGCGAAACTAAAACTAGCACGCAGCGTCATCAAATAAAAAGAAACAGTCGAACCCAACAGTTACATTAAGAGTTCGGTGATTTAATAGCAGCTGTTAAATTATTCTTCTTTACTGTCCACAGATGAGACGGAGTATGAATACAGTGGCAGTGAAGAAGAGGAGGAAGAAGCATCTGAACAAGAAGGAGAACCAAGGTAACTATGAAAAGACAGTATTGCAGTTTTCATGGCAGAACTTTTACCGCTAGCCCCTTGCTCTCTGTGTTTACTAATCAGTTTGCACACATCTTGTCAAATATCATGATAAATAGGCTCAACTATGTGGTTGCTTCTCCCAGTACAGGAAACTAATCATCTTTTGATGGACAAAGTGAAATATGAACACAATCATGTGCAACAATAACTTCTACCTTTACAAGTCTTGTGCTATATTACATTTAAGCTGCAGCACACATCATCTTATTTTATTCCTGTAAAGATGCATTTCAGTTGTTTTATTCGCTGTAAATATATTTTTGCACTATTCCTATATTTAACACTATTATTTTTTAAATTTTTAATCATATCTACTATGTTTTAGTCATGTCTGTGAGAGCAGAGCAAAAACCACAAAGTCGTCAAGCTTGTCAACATGTTGACTTTCTCCCTCGTGTTTACTGAGTAATTATTACATTATTACATTAGTGCTCATGGGTCGGACCACGCCCGTCTTCAAACTCAGTCTGCATTTTGATCTCAGCTACGCACCTGTAAAGTTTTACGAGTGTGTCTCACACAGTTGTGACGTTATTGTGTTGACAAAATCTGTCTACAGACAAACATTTAACAACACCTGCCAAAGTACTCAAAACCACCGTCGTGTCAGTTCCTGCTACAGGTGTCTCCTGAATCACATTACGCACCAATGACACACACATAGTCAGAGTCATGAGGTGGAAACAAGTGTGGCTGGTAATAAAATGAAGCATACATGAAAGAATTTAGACAAAGAGAGAAAACAAGGAAAGAATGGAAATCTGAAAATACAGAAGTGCTATATGGATATACCTGCTTGTATGTTTTTCTCTCTGTTTTAATGTCTCGGTCTTTTAACCAAACTGACAGTAAAACCACAACAAACTCTCTCTCCTCAAACGGGGAAGTCAAATGATTGAATTTGTGTCCTGAACTCAGATCATGATTTCTTCTTCAAACAACTTGTGTGTTGGTGTCTCCAGACTGAAACCAAAGAAACTCTGCACATCTAATACATGAGGCAGGTGTGTAGGAGAGGGACGAGTGTATGAAAAGATTCAATCAGACTCCTGAACACTGTCTAAGTTTTACAAAATACATTTATTGGCATGACAGTTTTGGTGCTAGACCTTCATGAGTCTGATTGAACCATTTGAGTTTCTCCAGGCCGACACACCAGCTCTGACCTCTCACTGTTTCCTCCGTACAGCTCCATAGTCAACGTGCCGGGCGAGTCGACTCTGCGCCGCGACTTCATCCGGCTGCAGCAGGAGAACAAGGAGCGTTCGGAGGCTCTGCGCCGCCAGCAGCTCCTGCAGGAGCAGCAGCTCCGCGAGCAGGAGGAGTACAAGCGCCAACTACTGGCCGAGAGGCAGAAACGAATCGAGCAGCAGAAGGAGCAGAGGAGGCGGCTGGAGGAGGTGAGCCAACATAAAGGCCTCATAAATTACCTGTCAAGCTTTTTATAGGTTATGATAAGTTTTTATTCTCCCACTTAACTGCTGGGATCAGGGGGTGTGGTGGTGTTACTGCAACACAATCCTGCAGGGCAACGCAACAAAACACTGATATTTAGACACTTGAGAAATGAAATAGAGGTTGTTGTTAAAGTTACTGGTCAATTATTGTAATAGTCTGTCAAGCTAACTGAGTATTCACATTACAGTACATAAATGCAGAGGATATTTTTAATGTTTGCTTTTATATTCACTTAGTTGTGTTTTTTTTTTTTTTTTTTTTAAGCAATTAGGTAGACTTGCTTGACCCGTACAACTCCAAGCAGTTTCTGGGCATTTTTTTTGTCTCTGTTACATTTTTACTCACTGTCATCTAATTTTTCACTGTAATATAAAGTCCTGCATCTCCATGGAAACAACACAACCACAACTAGAAGGAGAGAGAGCTCAGAAATGTCTTCTGTGCTGTGTGACATAGTTAGAGAAAACTGGAAGTTGATTTTCTTTGATGACTTATTTCACAAAAATTGCAAAAACCTGGAATGATTACTAAATGATGGTACCAAAATGAATAAAAAATGTGACTCTGCTTAATATTAATATTTTACTACTTACATATTTAATGTGCTCCTGTCTGCTCTGTATAAACACAGTCGGCAGTTCAGCCAAAAAGTGCCTGAATTTTGATCACGTCACTGCAGCCGAGTCACTACTGGCTTCACAGAGTTTTTGTTTTTTACAGAATCTAATTTCAACCTATTATCTTTCTTTATTTTTTTAACAAGACATAAATAATAAGGTGACATAAGCAAATATCATGATTTGAAGCACAGATTGGGTTAATCCTGTTCTAGTGGAACAACATGTCAGGTGTTGGAAGGCTGAAGATCTATAGTGAGTTTTTAAGTATCAGAGGATTCAAGTTTGGTGTAAAGTTGTCATTAAGAGTGGCCTTGTTCCCTCTCGGCAGTGAGAATGACTAAATATTAGCTAAATCTACTAAAATAAAGTAAAATCAGGTTGTAGCTTTGCTTCAGCAGACACCTGTTAAACTGAGAGCCATAGATCCAGTTTGCTAATAGAACAAAGAGGCCACAGCGACCTTAATAAACATTACAGTAAAGCATCTGGAAGGTAGTAAGACGCATGCTATGCTGCTATTTATAGATTTCTCATCTGCTTTTAATACCATACAACCCCATATATTAGCAGATGAATTAATTACACATTCTGGCCTTGATCCAGGGTTTTTCCTGGCTCAGAATGGGCCTTTGGGGGGTGAATATACACAGCAGTAAACAAGATCGGTGTGTGTACAGTAAAGGCAGTGAATCAGCGGTAACTTATTTGATAGAAATCTATGCATTTATTCTGTTATTTCTGACCATTTGATAATCAGAAATGTTTGTTGTGTTTCAGTAAATGAAACTACAGTTAAAAAGACTGGCTAAGAAATGTAATTGCTATTTTCACTCCTAATTCTTTTATTCTGGCCTTGGTTAATTGTCTTTGGTGTTGGACAAAACATCTTTTAGACGGGCTACAAAATAGTAAAAAAAAACAACAAGCCCTGTTCTCTCAACCTGCTGAGTTTTAGACTTTTGAACTGAATCAGTGGTCTCAGCTTCCAGACTCCACTCAAGCCTGCGTCCTGTCACCATCATTATATATTTTATTTACAAATTTCAGCACAAGCAAACCTATTAACAGACTTTCCTTGAAGTTTGCAGATGATGCAATGATTCTGAGTCTCCGGGGAAATAATAGAACATGTCACGGCCCAGTTATTGATGATTTTTTTTAAAACGCTGTGATGATTGCAGCTGAAGGTATCGAAAAACAAAAGACATGATTATTGATTTAGGAACTGGAGCTCAAACACATTAAGGGCCAGAAGGTGGAACGTGTGATTGATATCAGATTGATTTAGTTGTTGTGCAAGAAGGGACGGAAGCATCTAAACTGTGTAAGAAAGCTAAATCGTTTTAATGAAGACGGGATCTTGATGAAACTGTTTTATAAATCCTACAAAAACACACTCAGCAGCATTGTCAGAAACAGTGAGGAAATAATTGGAAACCAACAAAGCAGCTTGTCTGATCTGTTTGACAGATATGTGTCCGTTTTTCTCCCCAGTGTAATCAGATTATTAAACAGAACCTTTTTAAAGTTTTGAATTCGGGCTGTTCTGCTGCAGAAACCAAATGGCTCGTAAGAGATCTTAATAAAGCCTGAACTGAACTAAAGTGTATATGTATTATTCATTATTTAGGCATCACAGGATCCCTCCCAGCGATTACACTGAATGTTTGAATAGCACTAAAAATAATCCTATTGCAGGGAAAGTCTTGAGTTATTTATGAAGTTTTGTACACGCATCCAACAAGCAGAAGAGATTCTCCTTTAAGACCGAATAATGTCAAGTTTTTACATTAATGAGAAGTTAAAATGAACTTTATTGGGTTTTGTAGTTTTCTTACCTGATCTCATTTAGCAGACTGACAGGCTGAAATAAGTGGTTTGATGCAGAAAAAATGTAAATACATTCATTCAATGCATCAGCGAGAAATACATTATGAAATACATGATGAAATACATGATGAAATACATTATGCGTTTGCAGTACAGACTGGTTGTCGTCAATTGTGTCAATCAAAGCTCACAAAACGATCAAAATACAGCCTTAGACTTTATCATGGCAACTGTATCCAAACCAATGCTCACAGGATTAGTGGAATAATATTTAATTTAATTGACAAAACATTAATCAGAAACCATTTCAGGTTTTGTTCAGCAGAAGAACAAATGATTTGTTAGTGTCACTTTTTTTAAACGTAAGAATATTCTGTCTGTTTCACATGATTGTAAGCTGAATATTGATCAGTCAGCTTGGGCTTTAATAAAACAATTGATTTGGAGATGAAAACAAAACCCCCCACTGGTTAGTTGTTAACGAACTTTGGCAACTTTGGCAGTTGCAGCTTCACCATCCAAGACTGTACACACTAAGAAATCAAGGTCCACAAATGGACCTAAAATGGTACATACACTTTGTCGCTCCAGCAGTACCCTAGCAGGGTACACCGACTGTACCTTTAAACATGGTGCATTTTTGTACCTCTTTATCTGTACCTCTAAAGGTACATTTTTGGTACCAGGAGTGCAAAAATGTACCTTTATATGCCAGTACAAGAATGTATCCATTGTAAAGATACAGAATTAGTACCTCATGAGGTCCAGCTGGAGCCCTTTGGTACCTTTAAGGAGCAAAAACATACCCTTAAATTCAAAGACGAATGTGTATGCAATTATTTAAATCGTAAACACATATATGTGTGGTTTACATTTACTTTTTACATTTTACCATCAACAAAAAACCTTTCTCAAAGTTGAGTAGAAAAGTGCAAAAACATGAATTTTATAATTTTTCCAGGGTAGGATTCAATTTCTTGACTGTTTTTCACACAACCTGGAAGCATCAGGCTTTGTAAGTCATTCCAACTGGTGCTGAATGCAAAACACACTGGTCCGTGTTTTACTCATTTAAACATGACAGCACTGTGTAGCAAGTACAGAACATTACCAAAAGTTTTTATAAAAACGTTAACAATACAGAGATGAACACAAACCTGAAAGCATCAGGCCCAGTGAGCCGTTCATTCATCAGTTTTAAATGCAAAGCACTCAGGCGGTTTAACACATCCACCTCACCTGACACTTGACGTGACATTTGTACAACATTAGGCATTCCATTCATCTGTCCTTGCAAGCACTTATACTAAATGTTTTCTTGCCTATGTAAAGACGAACGTAGCCTCTGGGTGTGAAGAGTGAAGCCAAAGTAGAACTGCCTCAGTGGCTGAACTTTAAAACCTGCCGGGAGGCGTGAAAGCTTGTTGTCTTAACAAAATCACCCAAATCCTGCTATTTAACGGAAAGAAGAAGAAAAAGAAAGATTCATCAAATTTTCACCTTCCCAACAATCTTTGAACTACTCATCTGTGACGTGCGGTACAGTTGTGAATAGTAGCCAAATCTAAGCTTTAAATTGTGTTATTGTATCAAGAACACTTTATCCTACTTGTCTCATTTGAAAAATGTGCTAAAAGTGAATTGTTGGCGCTAACCAGATTCTGAAAAGAACACAAATTTGTGGCTCTTTAGTGCAACTGGGAAACCTTTAGAGTCTTAGCTGTGAGTTTGTGGCTGCACTGGGATGAACTGCAGGCTGTGCTTTCACAGAGCAGATGGGAGTCACACTGCTCTATAAATGCATGAATTATGGCACTATAACTTTATTATACTGCAAAAAATATGTTTTGGTGTTCTCTTTACTTTTAAGGACATTGTGCTGGTTCCATAGAGGTGCAGGACCTTATACTGCAGTGAGAAATGAGGCAACAGGAGCAGAAAACGCAGATTAACTGAGGTTCAAAAGGTTAAAGTTGCATTCTTATTATCGGCCAGCAGGGGGCGACACCTCTGATTGCAAAAAGAGCTGAGATTCCATAAAAGTCTAAGAGAAAAGGACTCCACTTCTACCTCGATCTGTTTCCTCAGTAAACATTTTCCTACTGAGTTTATGGTCTCAGTTGCTTTTTCACGTCTTATCCAATACAGCCTACTGTTAATTTTTTTAATTGTATTATTATATAATAAATAATTATATTATTTTACAATAAAATAGATGATAAAGCGGGGTATGTTTTAGAGTGTGGCTGCCTTGATATAGAGTTCTCAGTTTAGTCCACCCGTCCCCTGGTTCAAAAAAAAAGCAAAGTGATGATGGTCAAAATGCCAAAGTTAAGGCTATAATACGTTACTAGGGTAGAGCGTATGCAGAACATCCAGCCCTAAGACAGATCCGTTTTTAGGCATATTGATAGGTTTGGTTTAGTGAGTTTTGTGTCTCCACCTAAATACAAAGGAGGTGAATGCTGCTTTGTCTCAGGTGCTCAGAGCATTTAAAATGTTCACCAGCAACATCTGTTCTCACATCCAGTATCCCATCCACTGTGGATATCAGTCCACTGTCTTTATGTCCTCAGTAGAAAGTATCTGTCAGAGTAGAATGTGCTCCTTTTATGGACAGACTTTGTTTTGAGCTCAACTCCGCTCTGGTCTCAACTTGTTTGTGTAACGTAATGGTGAAACAGTGAGAGCCTGAGGGCGACTGAACTCGTTTGTCAGGTGCAGTTTATATACGGGCACATTATGTTGGTGTAATAAGATTAGAAAGTTTTGACTTGGGGGTTAGCGGTTAGATTTTTGCTTGATAATTTCGTATAATACACAAAATCAATTTAAGGCTGCTGCGAAAGAAAAAAAAAAGTTAATTGGTGTCCCCCAGAGAATGGTTTTGAAAGCCCTTTTTGTAATTATCCTTTATCTCTTTGAGCTGTGGTCCTTTTCTATTAGCGTCTGAATGAGCCTGGCTGCGTTTCCTCTTCACCTCTTTTAGAGAAAAGTGTGGTGATGGAGGAGAAAGAGGGAGAGAGCTGCAGAGAGACGAATATAAATGTGGACAGGAGTAGAGTGAACTAAATTCTCTGGAAGGAAAGAAAACGAGGCAGATCTAAATACTGTAAGAGAAACAAAAGACGTGACATTGTGTGTGCGTCGACTTTCAGCGAATTTAAACATGCTCTAACAGCCACTGGGGCAGATGTAAATTTGTTACACCTCGCAAGTGTAAGGCCTCCGTGGCAAGAGAGGATTTTATTTTTGCGTATGTTTTCCCACAGCAGTTATAGCTCAAGGCTCTGTTTTTGATTCATGACGGTGCTTGTAGATGAATCACGCAGTGGAAGCCGCAGCTGAACGCAGGCCATGTCAGAGAAATACCGCTGTACATGTGCTCTCCTGTTTTTATAGATCACCCCTCTTCAGAGGCCCGAATGCTGAGCAGAGAATTTGTACAAACACGATGCGTCACGACACTGAACCCGCCGCTGACGTCCTGCAGCTTTCACTGCACCTTTTCACAAAACACCAGAAATCAGAGCGGTTTCTTCATCCGTCTGCTTATAGAGACACGTTTTAGCGAACCGCTCTGCCCGTCAGACTTAGACCGCTGCTCTGATTAAGTGATCAAGTCATAATGCAGCCCTTGAAATGTTGACGTTAACCTCCCCCCTCGTCACTTCAGCTCATCTGCTCTCTGTGGTATTTATATTTCCTCCGCTCAGACAGGTGAATACATGCATAAACTCTAACTTGTTTATCCATGTCCATCCAAAAAAAACCACATGTAAATAGAGTTTGGAAAGGGCGAAAACGAGATTAATTATATTTAGGCCACATTAGTAAAGCCTTGAAAATCCTTGACAGCCTGTGGAGTTGAATAAAAACAGCATGCTATGTTCAATAGGTGACCTTGAATGTGTTTCTTAAAATGAGAAAACAGCGCTCTGGATGAATTCATATTCTCGGCTGCTTTCAATCTACTGCAGCAGACGTTTTAAAACCAGTGTTGGACTGCACCTAAAAAAATGTGCCTGTTCCTGTTCATTCACCCATACAGACCTGTTCAGATTGCCTGTTTAGTTTGACCAACAGCTCAAATTTGGAGGATATTCAGTTTATTATAATATAAGACATAGAACAGGTGGAAATTGTCACATTGGAAAAGCTGGAACAAGAATAGGTTTCTAACTTTTCAATGAATAATGATTCAAACATTTGAATACTGTGTTATGCTTTTTGAGGTGTTTGCAGTTCTTTCCAGTTCATGCAAGAGGAGCAGCTGTCTTTGGTACCAAACTTAGGTCAGATAAAAGTACCAGTGCAGTGTGATGTCCATTAAAGATCCCATGATATGCTTTTTGGGCTTTTCTCCTTTATTTTGGTGTGTCAGAGCTTCAAACTCACGAGGCCCAAATTCCACTCCAGAGCGAGTTTTTCTCTCCTGCATTAATGATGCTTCTTACCTGCCTGAGATGCTTCAATTAGGTTCAAGGAGTTTTTTTCTGTTTTATTTCTGTCATTTTGTAACATATGTACATAACGCCTGCCTCGCCGGTAGTTTGGTACCCGCTATAAAACAAATAATGAGCAGTTTCTTCGCAATCTGCCTTTATTTCCTTGCTAGAACCACATCCTTATCCTTACTGATCAGGATTTAAAGAACACAACAAGTGCTGCTGTGCTTTCATTAAGCCAGCTGACCAATCAGAGCACAGCAGTTTTTCGGTTGGTGGGCCTTAATGGAGCCTTTTAGACAGAAGGTGGAAACAGGTGAAAAAGATTGTTTTTTGAAGCCTGTAAACGTTCTTGGAGACCCTCAAAACAACGTTCGAAACCTGTAAATGTGCAGTTTACGCTCTTTGATCAAACAACAAGACGTTGCTCAACTCATTATTTGAATCAACTGTTGGTTTTAGGCTTGAAAGTATGTGTTAAAATCACAGGAACAAACTGAGGCTCTTGACTGTCTTTTGTAGACATTGTGTTGTTTCAGTACAGGAGCTGCTTTATTTTGATTTGTCCGTGAACACAGTCAGTCAGTAACTATTTGTCTTCAAGGTCTGATTAAACAAATGCACTTTAATTGACATTTAAGCTCATTCGACTCTCCTTTGTTCTGCTTGCAGCCAGGCTTGATTATTCCTAAACTTCTCTTAAGAGGCTGATGGATTTGTTTAGATAAATGTAGGTTTGTCTTTGCAGCCGTCTCTTTTCTCTTTGTTCACTTACTTTCTTTCACGACACTTTGCAACTGCCAAAGTGCTCACAAAGTCAAGTTAACCTTCAGTGTCTTCATGCAAAGTCTTGTCATCTACACCAGTGCTTCTCAGCCGAGCTGTGGTGTCAGGAAAGACAATGATTCTTGGGTAAATGATGGAAGATTTACAGCTACAAGAAAGTACAGTTTAAGTCTTCTAAGAAGTTCCATGTAGGCCGCACACCGAGGGGTCTGACATCCATGTAGGTCAAATCAGAATAATACTGTACAGTCATACAGCTGCTGGTTTCACTCTCATCGGAAAACATGAGCGCCGTGTCTCATATGACTTGACAAAAATCCGAAGTAGGACGCTGAGCAGGTTTCTCTTTTAACTCGCCTCCTGTGTCCACCTGCAGCAACAACGGCGCGAACGCGAGATGAGGAGGCAGCAGGAGCGCGAGCAGCGCCGGCGCGAGCAGGAGGAGAAGCGTCGCATCGAGGAGATGGAGAGACGCCGCAAAGAGGAGGAAGAGCGACGGAGGGCCGAGGAGGAGAAGAGGAGGGCCGATCGAGAACAGGTAGGAGCCAAACTCACAGAGAGGGACAATAAAGACGGAGCGAAAAAGTGATGTATGCAAAGATCTTTTTAAAAGTAGTTCAACAGGTGGGCACGCAGCTAAACTGAAACTTCACATCTTATTCATGTGCAAATTATAGAAAATGTAGAGCTAGTAACGGGATGACTTAAGAAATCTCATGTTTGCTCTGTAAATATGAGCTTTTCAATACAGTCATTCAATCACTGTTCATCAGATTTTTAAAATAACTTCTGCTGGACCATCTCTGATTGGTCTGAAATTTTTATAGCATAAAATATAGGTATTAATAAAGATATCTGGGAGATTTTAGATTAATATACCAAGTGTTTCCCAAGATATACATTTATTTAATTTCATGCTGACCCACTGTAATGTGTACTCAAAGATGGGACTTTTCAGAATGGTTGAAACTGATCTTGTTTTTGATATTTTTTGACTAAACTATAATCAGAGATTATTTGATCTACTTGTCCAGGTTTGCAGATTCTGAATCAAGACAAAGTGAAAATGTCTGACTGTTATCTTTAAAAGTTCTTAAGAAATTTTTGTTCAAAATTCCAATGTGCAAAAAAATCAGGCAATTTAAAAAAAAGAAAGAAAGAAAATATCTCGGAAAATACTTGATATATCAATCTAGAGTTTCACTGATACCATTTTAAGTAGAGTTAAAGTGAAAAAAAAGCAAATCAGAGATGATTGAACACAAGACCCCTAATGATTTGAGATCACACTCATTTCCTATTACTGTTGATTTAATTAACTTTTTAAAAATATATTTTAAAAGAGCAGTTTGCTTCGTAGACTCTTGGTAAAAAAAATAAATCCTTCCCACTACAGTCACCTTGAAGTTGAACTGTGGAAACTGAGGCCTGATTTTGATCATTTTATTTATTTTACAAGTATTTTTTACATCATTGTCGTGAGGTTTTGAACAAAATCTATATGTTGCTATGAGAAATTGTAGATCTTGTCACCATATCCTGCTCCACTACATTTTGAAGACCTTCCTCATAGTAAATACTGTGTTGTTTTCTGATTTTAAACTAATGGCGGCTGTGTTTGACGGACAGGAGTACATCCGTCGTCAGCTGGAGGAGGAGCAGAGGCACCTGGAGATCCTGCAGCAGCAGCTGCTCCATGAACAGGCCATGCTGCTGGTGAGTGTTGGAGTGTCTTGTTCAAACCCTGGACATCACTTTTACATTTACATTTTTTCCTTATAACAATATAAACGATTTTTATGTATTCTTAGAGTTTTGGCCACATTTTCTTATTTCCCTTGCCTCTCTGAATTCCCTTAATGCTATTTCCATTTGGTTTTATGTCCCCCTGGTTCTGTTTTAATGTTTCCACAACTACATCCCAGGTTGTTAAATTTCATATTGCAGGTACGTGTTATTGCACTATTATACAAGTTCCCCTGATTCTGTTTACCTTCCGTTCTAAACCAAGTTTTTGGGAATTACTTGTGATTTTAGTAGATCCGAGGGGAGCCATTAGCAGTCGAGGTCAAAACATAATAAGTATTTTCAGGTTCTGGAGACGTCGGGATGTTTACAGGTTGAGCAGTGATGACGATGTCGTCACCAGGAAACTAGTCATGCAACGGGAAAGAGGGTTTCCCCTGTTTTTATTCCAGATGTTACAGGTTTCATGCACATGGGTTATTTAAGGGGTTTGTATGACTTGATGTTGTTCGTTTTTAAAGGATTCTGTTCCTCTGGGAGCTACAGAGGATATTCACATAATGAAAGGATATGACCAATCACATCCCCACTTCCAGTTTCACACCATCACTTCATCATTGGCTTCGTTCTCTGGCGCCGACACAGTCCCCATTCATAAATTTAGTTAGAAAAAAATCATGGGTCCTTTCCATCATGACAGGCTTTAACACTTCAGTTGGGCTGATTTAAATTATAAGTATTAAAAAGTTTGCTTTGAACATTTCAGAGAATAAATTTTATTCATTTGATTTAACAACCTCGAGCTATATATAGATGTGGCTTCTGGCAATGGGCTGAACTATCCCAATGAATGATACTGTAAAACTGTATTAATGGTTCAGTGATTTTAATACTTATGACCACAGTTAAGTGGTCTAACAGGCCTGCAGTTGGACACATGACATGTTTTTACCACCAGCTGTTTGAATAGTTGGTTTAGCTATTTTTTTTCGGGACTGTAGGAAATGTGTTACCATTTGGAGAGGGACTGAACAGTGTTTTTAAGGTTTTAAAAAGCAACACCTTCACCAAAGTTATTCATATTTGGTGACTCTCCACTGCAACTCCCCTGCGATCGTATTTATTAACTAAAGTTTGATTTCAAGCTCAGTGTTTTAATGGGACAAACATATTAACATGCTCAAATTGTACAAAATCTTCTATTTTTAAAGAAAGAGCTGCTAAAGAACACCAGTGACACTGAGCAAACAAATGGGGAAAAAGTTGGAAAATCTGTGGTTTCTGAGGCGCTTCAGCAGCATAACATTTGCGCTTCATCCATTTGTAGAACAGATTAGGTTGTGCTGAAGAGGTTGATCAAAAAGTTACGAGACGGTGCCCACATACATCAAAAATGTTACCTGATTTAAATTTGGCTGTGTGTACAACAACACAACGCTCCGGGAGCTTCTGCAGTATTTGTAAAGTTCCCTGGAAGTAAACATATGAAGCACCATCTCCAACAGATGGATCCTTCGGTTTGAATTACATTTTGGAGAAGAGAAGGAAGTCACAGGGAGCCACATCTAGTGAGTTGGGCCAGTGGGGAGTGACAATTGTTTTGTTTTGGCTAAAAAAAAAAGCCACCTGTGTGTAATCACCGTGCTGTGACTGTGGAAGACTAATTCCTGCTGAAGTACCACGTGAATGTTGGGAAAAAGAAAAAAAAACAACTACTGTGCTCCTGGTGTGTTCCTAAACTGACATCTTGTCCGATTTGGGAAACCGCAGGCTTTTCCACTGTTAAAACTGCTGTTTCTTCTCTGGATGGTCGCCACAGACCCCTCCTCTAATCACTAGTCATCATCCTGGACGTTAAGGTTGGATCATTCCGGCTGCTGACTGACACAAAATGTCAAGTCGTCTTCTCTGCTCCAGTTTGAGATCCATGGAGAAGAATCAAATGGTCACAGAAACACGTGTTACAGATTGTGATTCATGACTGACACGCACCACAAACAGTCTCAGAACTTTTTGATCATCCCTTTAGTAGTTTAACTATAATGCATTGGACTTGAGTTTCTGTTATCTAGTAAAACAATCTTAGAGAGATAATATTGAATCCCTACTAACTTTGCAGAGCCAAATTTTCCATTTCTTGTATCTGAAGCACTGCCTTTGCTAGCAAATAGTAAATGAAAAGCACTATTTAATGTTTTTAAGTATGAATAGAAAAGGAAGAAATGAAATAGGAACTGAGTGCATGGAAAAATACATGAGCTTCCACCTCCTCGACTAATACTTTATATACAGTCCCGTAGGTCCAGTTATGCCCGGTATCGCACCATTACCATGTCATAGTGACGCATAATTGTGTACCACATCAAAGGTCTTAAAAGTAAGTAGCAAGTAATGAGGAGTTTAACATCTGAGAACATGCTTATTTGAATCTTTCCTGAGAAAAGTGGTTTGCTGTCATGCAGATCAGGTGGATTTAACATGTGGCTCTATGTGACTGGTAGGTATAAATGTTTATGGATAGAAGAAGGAGTCACCTAAATGGGTCCCTAAACATCAAAGTGTTGTGGAAACCTTTCCAAGCCTCTTTCTGTTGGTGGCTTTGGTTCAACTTGACCCTCCCTGTACTCAGGAGTACAAATGGCGGGAACTTGAGGAGCAGCGTCAAGCCCAGAAGCTCCAGAAACAGCTGCAGCAGGAGCAGGCCTACCTGCTATCCCTCCAGCAAAACCAGAACCCGGATAGTAGCAAAACAGCACAACAACAGAGCACCAAGCCTCCACAGGACCTTGAAACCCTGCAGAACCCTGAGCCGGATACAACGAAACAACCGCAGAGCGTTGAGAAGACGCGATCCAGTCCGGTTTCCGGTCTGGAAAACACGGCAGAACCCAAGCTGCCTGTGGCTGACCTTCAAACCCCCGACTCTGAGCCGGTCAGAGAGGTGAACTTCAACTCGACGCCGCCACACTGACTGCTGTAGAACGCTTCCTTTGCTTGTGTGTACTCACTCCCACTGCTTTGGGTGTGCTGTGGACATGGTGGTGGCTCGCTGGTGGTGTGGGGTGAATGGATGCTTTGTAGACGAGCTGTGTGACTAGAATTCATCATCTTTTTCTAAACTCACAAGTCTAATAATTAAACAGGTCCATGATGCAAATATGCTCGAGTGATGCTGGACCAACAGCAACAGGCCTCCTTGATATTTAGATCCTGTGGAAGACGCTTCTCTTGTTTGAATACATATATAAGGTCGGTGCTAGACGTCTAAAGTCTCAAGGGAGTCTATGTGTCCTGGATGTACCATCATATACAAATGAGCAGCGCGCTCATTTTAATGCCCCGGAGCTCTTTAATTGGCCCTATTCTCGGGCAAAAGACCGAAATTGTTTGACATTTAATCTCCTCCCAACATGACCACTGAGTTTTCTGTGAAACGCTCACCTGAACAGCTCCGCCTTCTCAGCGAGGGCTCTACTGCTCCACTAATTAGCCTCGCTGTTGTCTTTGTCACCATATTAATGAAGCTGCTGTAATAACGAGCCACCTCATTAGTCCACACTGCGACTCCCTGTCTCTTCCTTTTTGGCGTCCTGGTGTTCCCATTTAGTGCCTGGTGGGGGAGAAAGAGAAGAGAGACACAAATCCAAAAGAAAGCTCACAGTCTAAATCATGCACGTAGGTTTCTTTTTTTAGTTTAGATGTTTTTGTTTTGTTTTTTTGTTTTTTTTTTTGCAAAGAAATGCGTGCCAGTTTCACAGGGCAGTGCAAGAACTGCCAGGATTTTTTTTGTCAGAAGTTCACCTTGCTCAGGGGATTCAAAACACTGGCAGCCATGTTAGAGGATGAACAGTAACAATGGACAGCAGGTGATTGTAATGTCCACGTTGGCTGCATCAGCAGAAGGTTAGAAATATTCAGACAATAATCTTGATTTAACTTCTGTTTGAGACACTAATAATATCAAGTTTGATGGAGAAATAAACTCAAATTGTGAGAATGACTTTTGTGTATGAAGAAATCTGGCTTGCTTGCAGTGAAATTTCAGACAGAAGAACGCTCTTTCACCCACCACACCAAGCGTCACTTACTGCGGTGAATCAGTGTCCTGGACCTCAGTGTGTGCCCTAACCCTTCTGTTTTTTACTCCACATGAAAAATGCATGACACTCTCGCTGGTCATGGTGCTCTTGTCCTTCTAGCAGGTTTGTGGGAATCTTGTGGCGACAATAACACTGCTGCCCTTGAGGAGGTGCTCTGTTGTTCCTGCTGCTGTGCCTGAATCAGCAGATGACTTTCTGACATGTTTGTACTACTGCTGGTACAAATCGTCTCTTCTATGTGGAAGAAAACTAACAAACTGTAGTGTGTCATGGCTTCTGTCCTTTATGTCCTCTTTACGTACTGACTCGCTGACCTGTATTCTCAAGCCACCGCTAATGCTGCTGTCTGTGTTGTTCCGTAGGCTGATGAGCGATATCGGAAGAACATCCAGGGTTCTCCTCAGGCGGCTCAGACCAAACCACAGCAGCCTCCGGTGCCACCACGCTCCGAGTCTTCATACCCCAATGGGAACTCGGCATCTGAGGCGCCTGCCATGCACCGGCCTGTGGAGCCACAGGTATCAAACATAACCTATTCCCTCTCGCTTCAATGACTCCTTCATCTTTAGTTCACAGCTGTTGAACAGAGGCAGCGTTCTGAGTTGCTGCACAATGGGTTGTTTGTCACCAATAACAGTGTGCTGCCGCTTTTTCTTTCCAAACTCTACAGTACATGTACATGGAGCCATATGACCTGACTGTATGTCATATGATGCCTGCCTTGGACTTTGATCCAACAATAGCAATCTAGCTGTTTTCCTACCTCTCTTTTCCGACCGACTGAAACCGCAGTGACTCTTGTGTTATTATTTCACACCTAAGACTTTCTTGTGTGGTTTTCCACTGTCAGGTTGTATTGGGAAGTGGCTACAGGGAATGCTGACGCAAGTGCTGCAGCTGAAGCACGATTAATAGCTCATTTTTCAGTGTACACCAGGTCATGGTCATTCATGCCAGCTGAACTGAAACTTTGACTGATAGGGTTATAGGGATGTCCCGATGTTCCAGATGTGTTTTTGCCCCCGGTCCGATTAAAGTGATTTAGTATTTCGTATCTGCTGTCAGTCATGGACAAAATGAGTAGACCACCGTTGTTGTCTTCAATTTCTTGTTCATTTTAATGTCTGGTACAACTAAAGGTACATTTATTTGGACAAATATAATGAAAACAACAAAAAAAGCTCAGAAGAGTTTAACGTAAGGGCTGCAAGGTGGCACAGTTGGTAGCACTGCTGCCTCGCAGCAAGAAGGTCGACGGTTCGTGTCCTGGTGGGGTCACCGGGATCTTTCTGCGTGGAGTTTGCATGTTCTCCCCGTGCAGCGTGGGTTCTCTCTGGGTTCTCCGGGTTGTGAATGTGAGTGTGCTTGGTTGTCTGTCTCTAAGTGGAGCCCTGTGATAGACTGGTGACCTGTCCAGGGTGTCTCCTGCCTTCACTCTGAGTCAGCTGGGATAGACTCCAGCCCCCCGTGACCCTAGTGAGGATTAAGCGGTGTGTAGATGATGGATGGATGGTTCTTGCCGCTTTAAGCAAACTTTACCAGTTACACTTCATCTGTGAATGTGCCTGTCAAAGAAGTTTAAATTTTCACTGAAAACACTGAAAAGCTTGTCATTGGCCTTAAGCCCGAAGACGTCTCACGCGGAAAACTTTTTAACCGTAGCTTTATAACGGTTTTTCCTATGAAATTAGCTTATTTATTTATACATTATGAACTTATTTGTAACCTTTTCTCTAACTTATCATTCATGAAAATATTAATATCTTTGACCCAAAGACATGACATACACTGTACATTGTACTTCAGGATATGGGACATCCCTGGTAATAACTGGTTTGGATCTAAAATTTACTGTTTTTAAAATATGGCTTTCCAAAAACAAGTGTTATCTGGGCGCAACTTAGCCCCAGCAAGGGGTGAATTGAGCCTTTGAAGAAAACATGTTAAGGGTAAATCGTGCCATCAATTGTGTTGAAGTAAAATTGAAAAATGTTTACCTTATATAATGCTATATCAAAGGAAGACAAATTCAACACCAAATTATTTATATTATTATTTAAATTATTTATATTTACTAAATGCCAGAATAATGAGAGAATTTTTAAAAAACGTTTTTTAAAGTCAGAAGTTGACATTCACCAAGACTATCCATCCATCCATTATCCGCTGATACCGAGTCCCAGTCAGATACCATTTTCTGATGGTAGATTAAAGTTGTTAAGATCAATCCCATGTATATGCTTGAAAACTGAACAGCTGCACTAAGCTGCATTAAGAAAAAACATGCATTTCTATATCTAAGCTGTTCTTTAGTGTTATAAAGGAGTTTACGAACTGTTGTAAAGCTTCAGAAGGACATTGTGTGAAATGTAGTGTTGAGAAAAAAGGATGTCCTGTGGCTTCACAGGCTCCAAAACACGGTGAAAACCTGCATTCTCCACATGTATGTCAGAAACTGTTGCAAGTTAGCTGTAGTACCTGGTCATGCCAACAGGTGGAGCCTCTTACTGTTTGACACTGTGGCTACCAGAGCATGTGGTCACTCAGACTTTGGGCAGGTAGGGTTTTAGCTAGCGATGGCCACTATGACAAAGACTTCTATGACACTTAATGTCCGCCTGCCAGAGCTTGTATGTTTAAAACCAACCGGGACTACCTGGAACACATAATGTGTCCTCTAAAGCAGCCAAATCACAACAGGACAAATGTCCACCATGCTCGATTTGTCAGTCATTTACTGATTGATTGATAATGCTCAGGACTGTCGTTCAAGAAATTATTAAAAATTTGCATCCCAATTGTTTTGCTACAAATTGTGCTCTGCCTTTAAGATACCAGTGTGACAGCAGATGTGTGGCTGGGCTTAGGTTCTTGCTAATACTGATCAGTTAAAAAATCGGGACATCCCTAATTACAAAACATCTGATATATATATTTAGAACTTTTGTATTTCTATGTTGGTTTCCTTATGAGTTAGTGCCTGACTGGAGTAGCAATTGCAGATAACTCAAGTTTGGCTGCGCATGCTGTGACAATCAGCCTCATCAAACCTCAAACTTTTCCTTTTTTGTTCATAAATCTGCCATTTTTATTATGTGGTAAGGGCAAATTCGATTTTTTTTAAAGAGGATGCTATCAGTCTGTCGCTGCCAAGACTGGCCATGCTTCTACTGAATAGATTTATGATGCTATCACTTTCCGGCATCTACTTCATGGTGTGAACGGGATTTAAAACTTGGCTCTCCAAAATGCTGTTTCACTGAAAAGGAATGCTGCTCTGTTTCTTGCTGTACCTTTATGATTGACTCTTGTGTATTTCACACTCTACTGTTTTCTTGTCAAAGTCATTCAGTAAGTTTCTCTCTTTCAGGTGATTTGTGAAACACTTGGTGTGAAAGCTTTATTAGTGCTCTGTTGATGAGTTGTGCTGCTTTCTGTGAGTTTCCTCCTTCTTGCTCTGTGTCTTTAGCTAAACTCTTTTAGGTTGTTTCATCTGGATGTTGGATCCAACTTTGCTGAACTTGAAGACTCTTTCCAGTCTCTGGGTTGTCATCACTTCTATTTCAATCTGCTCATTTGAATAACTAAATTGTGGAACTGCACTAAATCTTGAAGCTAATGATGGATTGTTAATTTTCAGACTGAAGAGCTTTTTTCTCTCTCTTTTTTTTTAAATCAACACAAAGCCAGCGATTGTTTGTGACAAAAGTGTTTCATCAAAAAGAAATCTTCCTTGTTATTAAACTTTTTTGTGGCAATGAAAAGGAAATGATTCCAACCCTCCTCTCTCATAATTAACTCTTTGATTGACGAGGTGTCCTCCCACAAAGCAAAAATACTTTCACCAAATGTGCAGTTGTTAACATCACTTTATCTCCCTAGATGTGCAAATGTGTGTTTTTACGTGAACACGAGGACGTTTGTCTGGTGGCATGTTGGGGTTTTGTACATATCTGCTCTACATACTGTACCTCCATATTGTGTACTGGTGATTTAAAACATCCATAATTCATGGGCACCCAGATTTACAGCAGGGTGACTCAGACAGCATTAGTCATTTTCCCAGAGAAGGATTGAACCCACTAAGCATGAATAATCACAGTTCATTGAAGTCAATCTGTTTTGAATATGTCACACAGATTAAATTATACAGAAGTGATGCTGTAACTTGGTAAAAACGGGGCTGATGATGTAATTCGCTGGTGCGTTATTAAAGCGTAATGTTAAAAGTGGATTAATCAGTTTTCTGTCATTAGCAGCGAATCATCAGGCTCAGATGTGCTGTTGTGTTTTATCATTGTTACACACACAGACTTCTGTCTGTACTGACGCACTTGAAGTCATCTGATTAGAGATAATTAAATACAAGTCGTAATTTCCAAGTGGCAAGGAACTCTTGAAGTACTTGTCATTGAGCTGGAGCCAGTTTGAGCCCCCCTGAATGAAGCTGGTATATTTTCGTACCTAAATGACAATTTAAATTGTATGATGTATAAACCTAAACTGATGTGACACCTCTGTCTGGTTTGATTTAAACAGCTACAACTGACTAGTGAAGGATAGGAGAAGATTGTGATCTTGGTTTACATGCATCCAGTCTCAGAGTCACATGCTTTGTTGCCCCAGCCATGAATGTGTGCATGCTGCTGTGTGCAAGCCTTGTTAATGCAGTTTGTCCTAATGCTTGGTTCTAGTAATGCGTTCTCTTACGGCCTCAAACTGGTGAAACTGAGGTTTTCTCACCTTAAACAGTAACGATATGGCAATGTCCAGTCTCAGTCAAGGGTTAGACTAAATTCAAAGCAGAATATATACTGATGTGTCTCTTTAAAAGATTAATTTCTAAATAATAATAATAATAATCACCTAACTGAGGGGAAAAAGTGTTAGAGAATTGTTTAGATTCTGTAAAAAATGTTTTAATTCCCATCCCAGTGCTGTTATTGTTGTATATAAATGTTGACATAATTCCCTAGAGGTAATTAAAATGACCACACAGCAGATTAGAAAGATTAAAATGACTCAGTATTTGTGTCAGGATGCACTGAGCTTCACATCTTCACTCATTGCCTGTGCATTTTGTTGTTATTGTCTGTTTTCATGTGTCACTCTCAGAAGTCAAAAGCATGACATGATACCTGTTGATATTCGGGCTGCATTTTTTCAAATTAATTTGTTTAAAGTTGTAAGTTGGAAAAAGCTTTTCCAGAAGAACCTCTGCAGCCTGGGTGACAACAGGTACAACATGTATGTGCTTTGATTTTGTGAGTGTTCTTTCTGTCCTCCTGTTGCACTCTAAAATCTGGGGTTCTTTAGGGGCTTTGCAAAGATTTGGAAGCTAAAACATCTGCAGGTTTTATCTCTAAACATGCGCTGCAGCTGCTGATTTCACAGATAAGTTCTGTCTTTGTAGTCGGAGTCAAACGTACAACCAAAATCAGCTGCTGTGCTGTTGATTCAGTATTTGACAGCAGTAGTTTCTAACCTGGATTCCTGTATTTTGGAGCACTGATGATTCTATATTGAGTTCTATCAAGTCAGCATGCCAGGTTTTAAGTGGCTCAGTGTCTAGATTGTAAATCAACGAGCTCTGGGCACGGGTGACCAAAATCAGAGCTGAAAGATGGTCTCCATGAAGAATCCCTCTCACCCAGCTAATTTAATGCCACCAGTTTAATGTGATGGCTGCAGCAGCGAAAGGTTAAACACCCCCGCAAGAGATTAAACACGTGTCTTCTTCCTTCCTCTACTTAAGAGCTCTTCAAAAATCTATCATTTAATTACAGTCTCTATATTTTCCATCCATGTCAACTGCAGGGCTGAAATACACAGCAAAAGCCTTAAAATGAAACATGTCAGCAAATAGGAGGTAGACGACAGCCCCAATGTAACGTCCTGTCATCCTATGAAAAGCAGCAGCAGAAATAGTGCTCTGCTAAGTGAGGAAGGGTGTTTTTTTGGCATCATTTGTGAAAGCAGGGTGAGCTGTTGCCATTAATTGAGAGTACCAAAGCAAGAAGAGTTGATCACTAATGTGTCCTCTGAAAAGACACTTCCTACTTGATATTGTTAGTTGTCAACGCGATGCTGTAAACTCTCCCTTTGGTGCACAAGCTGCCAATTGTCACTGTAGCTGTGGTGCCATATCAGAATGAAAGCATGACAAAAACTTAACAGACCTGTGAAGCCAGGATGCCACAACTGAGAAGGGCTAATGTTAAAGCTTCATGTCAGTGGTTATAAAGCTTTTACGAAAGAGTCGGTCCAACTCAAATCATCACATTTTTATTTCTGCTCGACCGACTTAGATTTTTTTTATAGCATTAAATATATATTGTTATATAGATAGTTGTTTAATTTTAGATTGATGTAGCTAATACTTTCTGAGATAAAATTAAGATTAAAAAAATAATAATAACGTTCAACTCATTTCTTATTCAATTTATTTATTTATTTATTTTTCTTTTTTGTGTCCCAAGTATTTAGATTAAGAAATTAGAGATTCTGTGTGTTTTGTTTAGCATTATTATGATCTAAAACTACGTATGATCCAGAAAATATTACTAGTTGGCTTCTGCATTATCAGTTTTTCTATTAATGTGTGTTTAAACATTTTTCATGACGGCTTCCTTTTCTTTTTTTTTTCTTTTTTTTAAATATTTCGACTCATCCATAATCAGAGACTGTTTGATCTAATTGTCTAATATTGCAGATTCTAAATTGATGAGATAATTGTAAAAATTATCTGTAATAGTTCCTCAGAGATTCTCATCCAAACATAACTTCTTCTAAATTTCAGTATGCGAAAAAAAGGTGCCAAAAGTGGCAATATTTCAAAAGATTTAATATTGGAAAGCACTCTTTTAAGTATCCAGAGTTTCAGCTGATTCTGAGGTAGTCTAGCAGAAGGCCCCTGATGGTTTGAGATGGAAAAACCCAAAAGGCCTGCTCAAGGAACCGTTTTTAGAATCTGAAAAGCTCCAATCTAACAAGCGCCTAAAGACACCCTGAGCCCCCTGTCCTTGTTTGTACGCTGCATGCAGACTGACCTGTGCTCCCCGTTGTGTTCTGTTTTTTTTTGTCGCCTGGAAGGTGCGTTCCCATCTGGCTGCTTTAAAGAGCAGCAACAGCGTGGCCTCGTCAAACTCCTCCACTTCCGCCCCTCCTGTTGTGTCGCGGTCGCACTCCTTCAGTGAGCCGCTTGTCCCTAGCTTTGAAAATCTGCACCTTCACAACAGCCACGAATCTCACCTTCACCCTCCATCATCATCATCATCACCATCCTCCTCCTCCTCATCATCATCAACGCCTGCACGCACTGACCCACAGCCCATTCCCCAGCCCAGGCCCTCGCCCCACGAACCGGCCCCTTCAGAGGAGGTCCCGCCCAGGGTAAGGATAGGAAGAAAGACCCCTCGCTGTGGTCTGCTAGCAGTAGTTAGAGACCAGGCACAATTTATTCAACGACTGACCAAACAGAGCTGATTCCTCATTACTTTAACAGCGTCTCGCCGGCTGCCTGATTATGCAATATCAGCATCAATAATTCATTCTCTATTAGTTTTTCTATCTTGTTAGAGAATCATAGATGACTTTATTAAACCCACATTAAATTAGTATAAAAGTTTTTCTTTAGAAGCTGGTTGGTCAGCCCTGAATCCCCCTGAATATTTTTTTAACAAACCATTTTTTTGTTACCTTGCAATAAGTTTTGGAGTCCCTCTGATGCGTTTATAGTTGGTATGTTGGTCCAATCCAGTTTCTGAAGCCAGTTTAGGGAAACACTCTGCAGAATCAATGGAAAAGAAAGACGATGAGACACTTGACATGATGCCTTTAGTGCTCATTCGTCATTTTTTAATTCTGGTTTGCAGTCTAAATGGCTGGAGCAGCTTTGTCTGGCTGTGACAGGTGAAGCTGTAGATGTGCTACCAAGACACCAGAAAGTGTTCAGAAATGCAGTAGCTTCAATGCAACGCTCCAGGCAGCACAACTATCACTGCACACACATAAGTGCTGCATGCAGTCAGTGTGAGAACCATCAAAAACTAAAAAAAAATAATCAACGATCACACCAAAAGCAGAGGCACAACCACAGTAACAGCGACGTCGTTTAGTGATTATTACCAGAGCTGCAGTGAGGGAGCTGGTGAACCATGATGCTGCGTTTCATCCAGCTCAGACTTTCTGTATGCATCAGGGGAAATGTTATTGCAAGGCAACAAAAAAGTATTGCAAGAAAGCACAAAACTTTTCATGAGGTAATGCAAAAATAATCCTCAAAAAAATACTCGCCGTGACCTTTCGGAGCCCCCACAGCTGGCAGCGTTAAATCACTTCTTTACTCAAAAACTAAGTTCTGTGTCTGCCTTAGGTTATGTGAGGAAATCAGATACTGAAGGAGAATTTATTCCCTTTGATGCACAGAGTGTAAGAAGAGGGAGCTAACATCATGCTGCTGATCAGTGGTGGCAAAAAGAGAGTTAGCTGTTGTTAATACGAACCACAACAATCAGTCTGTGGCCTCTTTTTAACCCACTGAGACGATGCTGAGCAGTAAGACAGGTCGAGACAGTCTGGCTCATGCTGCTTTTTCTTCTCAAACCACTCTAATTTAGACTTTTACTGTTTGACCGCAAAATGACATAAAAATAACTAAAAAAAAGAAGAGAAACATACGCAAAGAGTTCTATACTTTCTACAACAATGTACAGGGTGCTGTGGCTAAGTATAGAGAGACAGGAAAGCCATGTGGCACTGCCCACATGTGTGGGTAGTCCGAATCCAGATAAGTTAGAAAAATCTAAGTTCAGTCTGTAGAGCCAAAGTTAGTTACCCACGAGAAAAAGAAACGGTCTGTCCTGAAGAACTGCAGCCAAGACGGATCACAACCCCGACAAGACTGAAGTGTTTGTAGATGATGTAAACATCTAAATCACAAGTTTTACAATACTAGACCTCACAAGAGCCTGGAAATAAACAAGAATGCTACTAAAGAAGAATTGACACGTCATTAACATCAGTTTCCATTTTGTCCCAAACTTAAACTTCTAAACAAAAGTGTGCAAGAGTAACGGCTGGAAGTTCTGTTCTGCACGGCTTTGTTGTTCTGCTCTTTGGATGCTGCTAAATGTTCTGCATTGGCTTTATTGAATTTACATGTGACTCACTGAGAGGAAAATGTGACTGCTGGTGTGACTGCTGGCCGCTGGAGTGACAGTTCTGCTTTACAGTGGTGCTCTGGGTGTCTGAGGCTGAGACGAGGTTATTTTGTGGTGTGTGAGTGGAATTTCAACTGTATGTATTTTACAGAAGTACCACATTGCATTGGCCTGCAGATTCACACATGCATGTCAGTGGGATAAGAAAGAGCAGCAGCACTCAAGATGGGTAGAAAACGAGCAGGAGTGACTGGAAAGTGATAAAGTTTATTTCACTATTGTTTAAAATGAGAGCTCGTCGTCAACAAACCAGATTTTTGTCTAGTTTGTCTAAAAAAACACTGAAGAGCTATGAATACAGTCAGTGTGTATGCCATCAGGGTGTAGACAGCATATGGGTTATGTGGTGAAGTCAGCCTGATGTGGTGTAGTTTTGCCATTTAGGGCTGCTGTGATTTTGATGGGTTGACAAACAGTGTTTTGTTTTTTGGGGGGTTAATATTCGCTGTACTGGTGTTTACAGAGTCCGTATGTATAAGCTCGTCACTGTTTTTATCATAAAAGGTTCCTGTCAGGACAACATCAAGGTCGCCGGTGTTGTCGAGGCGAGACTCGCCTCATCACCACGGCAACGCCTCACACGGCAGCCATGCTGTGCACCGCAACGCTGCCAGGTAAATCCTCCTCACCGTGGTCTTTGCTTTTGTCCCTTTTACTTGTAGCCACTATTGTTGCTGCTTAATCTCTTTTTTTCTCAAGATAATTATAATATCTCCTCTCTTCAAATACGTCCTGTGGTTTGGAAGCTTAGATTAGTTTTGTTTATTAGGATCCAAATTACCAACCGCAGCAGCTATTCTTTAACAAAAAGTATAAAGAGGCTGGAAAGATTGTCTGAGGATGTTGTTTGAATGGACTACCTGGTTTCTATCTTATTTATGTGTAAATATACTGGATATTTGTAGGATTATTTTGTTTTTGTTTTTTTTAAAAAAAGATCTGAATAAAATGCTTTTTATAAAAAAAAAAAGCTTTGCCAAATGCTTCATAAAAATGTGAATGATTTGACATGTGAGTCATATTTGAAATGTAAGAAATATAGGAGAAATAAATCCAAAGGGTCCAAAAATCTCTCATTTGGATATCTATAAAATAAGTACAGAAACCTAAAAAATCCCTGAATGGTCATAAATTGGAAGAGCACTTATAAAACATACATAAACATTAAATTTGCGTTAAATTACAAATGCAAAAATATATAAGTAAATAGAACTGGGTCCAGAATAGAGCTCTGTGGGACTCCACTGGTCATGTTTTTAGAGGACAGTGTACTGGTGCGTTTTCTGTATTTATTTAAATGGAACAATTCTGACACATATGAGATCTCAGGAACTTAAACTTCTCTTCGTTAATGTGGCGCCTTCAGGAGAGGAGCCTGAGTGCTGTGCAGCAGCAGCAGCATGAATCCAGGCTGCTGTTTCCAGCTATGCAATTAAAAAGACATGAAAAAGAACGACTTTCTCAAAGACTCCGGGAAAAACACTCGCCTTGTTTGGAAGATGGATCATACTCGATGCACTCCCCGTCTTCACTGTCTGTCTGTGCAGCTACAGTCTTTGTCTGTGGAGCTGAGTGGGAGGGTTTACGTAACAGTGCGAGCTGTCGAACTTTGTTGTCTCCACTTCTTTATTTGTGTGTGAGTGTGTGTGTTTGCACGTACATGCTCAGTTTGCTGTTTCCAAACCACAAGTCTTTTCATGAAATTCTCTATGTGTCATCTCTCACACTTCCCCTATCGTGCTCTATTTTTTCCTAACGTCTAGATAGAACGTATACTCCGTGTGTACTGTAGTATTACTTATTTTGCACATTTGCACTCTGTTACACGGACATTAGCTATAATCTAATGGTCATTTCAGAGCTATAATTTTGTGTGTAGCAGAATATTTATATGTTGAAACCACATGTTACGTTGGCAGTCTGCTATTCCCTGTAGTTTACAGTAGTTGTGGATATAGTACATGCCCTGTGTTTCTTTCTCAGTATTTCTTAGCAATTTTTATCTAACCAAGAACAGTAAGGGAATTTACAAGCTTTTTTTTTGTATTTGCAGTACAAAAAATGATGAAGATATCATGCATTATGTAAAAGTGATAATAGTAACAACACATTCAGTTGTTTCCTAGTTTATTGTGTAGCTCTTTGCACTTTCTTCCCACTTAAAAAAAAAAAACAAGTATATTGATGCTCTGTGTCAGAATATCAAACCCACCCAGTATTTTCAAATCAAATCACACAGTACAGTGCCTGCAGCATCCCTACCATTTTAAAAGTTACTGCCTGTGTAATAGTTTCTCTGACTTTCTTGACTCTGGTGTCTGTTGCCTCTGCAGTGCAGCGGAGCCTCGGCTGCTGTGGGAACGAGTGGAGAAACTGGTTCCCAGACCGACCAGTAATAGCGGCAGCGGAGGCTCCAGTTCCTCCAGCAGCTCCAGTAACTCCAGCTCTCAGCCCGGTTCTCACTGTGGCTCTGGAGAGAGGTTCAGGGCCCGCTGTGAGTCCACGCACACTTTAACAAATCAGCACTTAGAAAACATGCAGGAGGTGAACAATATAACTGAAACACCTCAAAACACAGTAAAGTAAACAACACCAGGAGCTACACAAACACATGTAGGAGAAATCCCACATTCACATTTGTAGATATGTTCCAGCGGTGTCATTTTATAGAATAAACTGACCTTATCACCTCCACCTCCTTCAGCCTCCTCCAAATCAGAGGGTTCGCCCCTCCAGCGGCCAGAGAATGCTGGGAAAAAACCAGAGGAGAGGAGGGACTTGGTCAGGCCAAACAAACCGGCGGTGAGAGTCGACTCAAAGCTGACTAGCCAGCAGCTCGCTAGCTGGGATAGATTTAGATGTAGAACTCTGTGTGTGTGTGTGGTGACGGTTACATGATGGCGTGAGGGTTTGGCGTGGCCTGACTGCATTGTGTCATGTGATCTCGCCATCCAATTGAGTGACGCGACCAGATTTTGTGAAATGGTTGTTTTATCTTTGGACTGAGCTCACTGGCTGACGGGTTTTCTGCACTTATTGTTTGCTTTCTCTCCACTGGTCTCTCTGCCTGGGCGGTGGCCATTTCAACTCATGCCTTTTCTAACTTTAATATTAATAATTTACTTTTTTTCCTGTACTGTTCCAATTTTTCATCTTTGCAGCTCTAATAGTTGTGATTAGAATTAATCCACTAACCTTACCTGCAGTAGCTTGGAGAGCATCAGCTGTCCAGTCATCTCTTTTCTCGCTTCATCTCTTAGCTTTGCTGCTCTAATGTTGGTTTCTCATTGGCTGGCGTTCGTCTAACCACTTTTCTTTTTCAGCAGCGCTCTGTTTCCGGCTTTACTAAAGAAAGATTAATCGCACATGGCATCCCAGCTAAAGACCTGCAGAATGGCCAAAACTCCCAACAGAGGAAGAAATGTAATTTTAATGAGAGAAAATGACCCAGGTTTTACCTTTCACCTCCTGGCATTTAGGACCTGACGGCTCTGGCGAAGGAACTGCGAGCAGTGGATGACGTTCGCCCCCCAAATAAGGTGACGGATTACTCATCCTCCAGCGAAGAATCAGATACCACAGATGAAGATGACGACGAAGAAGTGGACCAGGAGGCCGGTGAAGAGTCGACATCTGGCCCGGAGGACTCCAGAGCTGTGTACGTATGCACACTTTACCTCACATGTCAAGCACACTTTGTGTTGATGATGGACAAGTCAACAACAGAAACATGTGTCAGTTAACCCTGTAAACCCCATAGACTGTATAAAAGATGGACGTAGCAACCGGCCCTGAAAAATGAAGCCAACCCGGAAGTGTCAAAAACCTGCAATATCACTACGTCCGCTAGTCCTGACTCCATAAAGCCCTGGCTCCCATAGAAATGAATTGGAAAAGAAGTGATCACAGATCATGAAATACCGCATTCCTACAGCTCAGGATTTTTTTAAAATTAGTTTTCATGGTCAAATCCAGAGATCAGGTGGCCAATCTGAAAATAAATCAATACTGAAATTTTTAAAAATCGTCAAAATTTTGTGAGGCAAGGGGCGTGGCTGGCTTGATTGACAGTTGGCAGCGACCATACAGACGAAGCGAGCAGAAGGCGGTAAATGTGGGCGGGCAGATAGGGCCCGCCTCTTAATCCGTCTGACCAATCGCTGCTCCTATTGCTCCGCCCCCCTTCGACGATTTTTGGCTCCAAAAATCCAAGATGTCAACCAGGAAGTAGCAAAACCCTGGCTTCATTTTCTCAGTGCAGAAACCAACGGGTGACGTCACGGTAGTTACGTCCATCTTTTATACAGTCTATGGTAAACCCCAAAGCCACCGAATGGTTTACAAGGCATGTCTTTTTTGTTTGTTTTTAAAATCCCTAAAATGACACCATTCTTTGAGCCAGAAACTGTTAAAACAGAAAGTATCATTAAGAACTTTCTGAAAGTTCATGAACTACTCATCTGTGATGTGTTGTTCTGTCGACCTAATCTAAGCTTGAAATCATAACATTTCATTAAATCCCATTTATTTTAAAAGAAAAAAAATGTTTGTACTAACCAGAGCCTGTAGAAAAAACTAAAATGCAGCACTTCTCTGCACAACTGAGAAATCGTGAGCTTGTGATCAAGCACTTTATGTTACAGTGAAAAAATGAGCCAACTCTAAATGAGCCAGGTAATGAATAAGATCAGATTCCTCTAAAACACAACAGAATGTTGGTTTACATAAAGCCCTTTTTACATTACTGTTATTTTGGGGAAGTTGTATAATCAGTTTCCAAATTACACCCAAAACATAATGTGTGACTGCCGAATACTTCTTCTTCTCTCCTGTAGTTCTTCCAGGCTGAGCAACGGAGAGACAGAGTCAGTGAAAACCATGATCGTCCACGATGAAGGCGAGAGTGACGCCGGCTCAACACCCTGCAAAGACAGCACGCTGATTGTCAGACAGGTACTGGGCGAAAAGGAAAAACCAGAAACTCACCAATCGTTTACTGCATACTTTCAGTTGTTCCATTATTGAGCATTTTGTTTGTTCCTACCCCAATTGTTTATCCATTTTGTTTGGATGTTGTGTTGATCATGTTCTGTTCCTGCATACTTTGTGGCCAGTGGAGAAGAGTTTTAAAAAAAAAAAGAAAAAAAGAGCTTAACGTAGGTTGGGTATAGCTGCTCACAGATTTTATTTATGCATGCACAGACCAATAGTGGATTCATAAATAAGGATTTATCACATTATTAAACATTTATTCAGGTTTTGTCAGATTTTCAATCCATTTTGGACTTTTAAATTTTAAGGTTATTTCCTCAGTTGACATTACAAAACAACAAATACAGATAATGCATTAGCAGTGATCACGTGTAGCCAGCACCAACGCACACCACAAGAGGTCATCTTTATGGTGCCACTTAATAACTTAGAATATTATCTCACCACACAACTGACTGCTAACAAGAGTTTTCTTTCCGCCTGTAGACTAGCCACTGTAGTTTGCCCTTTGCTCTAGCTAACACCTTCCCTTCCCCCGAACTCATCAGGAACGCATCTAGACCCAAAGTGTTGTACCCCTCTTTCTACTTCCAGAGTACAGGTGACAACAGAAAGCGTTCGGGTCCCGGTTCGGGCCAAACGCAGACTCCTATCCTGCTCGCAGGCTTCGCCCCGAGCCCCGGCTCGGTGCCGGGACCGGGCCTTGTCCACCTCACACCCAGCCCCCACCACCACCACCATCATCACCACCACCACCATCACCCCACACAGCACTCGGACAGGAACGGCTTTGCTGGACGCATCCACCACCTCCCAGACCTGATCCAGCAGAGCCACCATTCCTCCCCCTCCTCCACTGCATCCAACTCCCCTTCCTCCTCCAGCCTTGCCAGTCCCTCCTCCATGTCCCCCCAGAGTCCCCTGGACAAGCTCGGCATCCTCACAGAGGTATGTCTCCCAGCCCAGACTTGGACACCCGCTGAGGGGCCTCATTTCTTGTGTAATCCTGAACCCGTGGAGCATAGAGAGGTTGAAATCATCACTGCCTGCCAGTCGGTTAGACTTCAGTGCAGTTGATGGCGGCTGAATAAAAAACGATTGAGTTCACAGCCTCTCAAACAGCATCCAAAATACCATAAATGACTAAAATCTTTCAAAAACAAGAGAAACTCTCCTTAAATTGATGCGCTTCTTTCATCACTCACCAGCCTTGCATACATATTTTTCTATCGTGGATTGAGTTTGGCGCCGTCTACTGGCCACCGTGATTCTTCTGCAGCTCTCCTTCTCTGTTTCTTGTTTTTTTCTTTTTACTGGCACAACAACTTCTGCAGAGAAATGGTGTTGATTATCATTTGGAAATCAAAAACTAAGCAAATTTCCATTTCTTTTTTTTAAGTTTTTGCCTTCTGTTGAGTTTATTGTGCAAAGGTTTATTGGTTGAATTTCAAATCCAAGTAAGAAAGTAAATAAATAAAATTTACTTTACTGGAAAATATGACAGTTCTAGTGCCTTTGCTCCCCAGTGAGATTAGATTTTTATACTATTATTTATGATCGTAACAGATCTGTTAGCTCTGGTTTGAAGCCTTTTGGCTAAAGAGTCTTCTGAGGATATCTGTGGTTTTACAAGTATTCTCTCAAACATTTTAAATGTCGTTGTATTCCTTGATGTTGACTATTTTCAGCAAACAAGTCACACTCTCACATTCCCCAGACAGTAGATCATAGCACACAGGCCAGTTAGGAGTGCAGCGGCAAGTATGTTTCCCATGGAAATACTTTTTAAAATTGCATTTTCCCCCTTTTTGTGCGTTTTTTTTGTTTGTTTGTTTTTGTCAACGGCATTCATGTTTTTTATCCTTCACCACTGTTTTTACCTTTTGTCCTCAGTCTCTATAATTTGACCCTCTGACCGTATTTGCATGCAACACATACAGAAATACCTCAGTTTGCCTGCTTGTTTGACTACATTGTCTTTTTAATTGTTTACATTGGTCTTTATCAGTCAACATTTAATGTTGTTCATGTTTCTGGTGTACACATTGGAAGGTAAAATGTTCTGTTGCCATTAAAATTTCTTCTATCTCCCTGTAGAGCCAGTCTAGTAACAACATGCAGAAACACAAGTCTTCTTCCTCCTTCACTCCGTTCATTGACCCACGCCTCCTCCAAGTCTCTCCATCCACCGGCAGCGCCCTCAACAATGTCGGTAGGTCGATTTCTATATTTTTTTTTAAAACTTGCACTGCTGAATAAGATGGCAGCATAGAGTATCTGTACGCCAACTTCCCTTCTTTGTTTGGTTATTGCTTGCTTTGATCAAAGAGAAAAGAAACTGCAGTGACTAATGTACCTGGTCGAATGAGGCTATCTAACACTTCTATCAGAATGACACAGGTATTAAATAAACCCACCGCATCTGCAATAAAGCATGAGGGACCACAATTTAAAACATTTCCTCCTTAAATTAATTGAAGAGATGAAGTCAAAACTTCCGCTAAAGCAGAAGAGAAATGTTTGAAATCCATCATTTAAAATTAACTACAAGAAAAAACCTCTCTGGAAAAGAAGATGAAGGCAAATGAGTATAGTACCGAAAAGAGACTCTGAACTGGAGTATTGATAGAAAAAAAGGGACGATGTATGTGTTGTGGGAGTTCCCCGTGGTTCAGAGGGAAACGACCCCTGTGTATACCTACAAAGAGAAAGTCCAAAGTGCGGCCTTGACCTGGAGAACCACAGCACTGAGATCGTAGCCACACGTTGTATTGGCCACGTTGGTATACAGTTCGAAAGGATTCTTTCATACAGATTGAGACTTGAGATGAAAAGACACAATAAAATGTACACGAAGATAAAATTAAATAAGTTAAGAACTGATAACCTAGTAGCTGACACTCCTCAGAGGTGAGGAGGATTAATGAACTCGTAACTTGTGGTTTAACTACAATCAATGTTGTGTAATAAAAGTACATTAATACATGAAGATCAAACTGGATTTGGGAAATCATGCTTAGCTTCAAATCATATTAGTAAATTATTATATATAATACATTATATTCAAGCAACAACTGCACTGTTCTGTCCGTTGATGCTGAAAAAGCAGTTGACGATGTGGAGTCGCAGCATTTATGGTTTGGGTTTTGGAAAAGGATTCATTGATACGATTAATAATATCCTTTAGATCAGGGGTTTCCAAAGTTATTAACCCTTGACCTCCAGTAGCCTCAGAGGTGGTAAACACATATAAACGTGTCACAGAATACATCAGAGTAATCTCCATGAACTGTAGTACTGAGTAAACATACAGTCTGTAGGAGTAGCAGATTGACAGCAGTTTGTTTATTTTTGATCTGTTGCTACAGTTAAAAATATGCATTTTCTAGTGATTTTTAAATACTATTTAATTTCTAAAAATCTTCCTCCGACACCCCGTCATGGTCTTGTGAACCAACCGTAGGAACCACTGCTCTTTATCAATCTCGCTACTTCAGTTTTGAGTCAAACGCAGGCCTTTTTTTTTATCGCTTAATGTATTTTTTTTTAAAGTTGCATTTATCTTGTATTGTGTGCTGTATACTCCACCGACTTGCACTTTGAAGCTGTGGCCAGTGAACCAAATCCAAACACAGACTCCTGCTCCTTTAAAAATAAGGAGGCTGACGGTGTGAAAAGTTCAACAGCAAACCAGAAGCAGTTTGTTAGCTCGGACTCTCCATCTCAGCGACGGGAGCCTGTTAGCTGTCGGTTTATGAGGAAAGCTTTCTTATCACAACAGTCCTTCATCGTTCCTCCATCATCAAGGCCACAGCTTAAGGACTCTGGTATGAACCATTACATCACCTGATGCAGCTGGTGATCAGCAGATGACCCCGTATACCAGATTGCTCAGCCTGTATTTCATCCCCGATTTGATTACTTTAGATTTTCCTTAAGATGTCTGGAGTCCAGATTTAACAATTTCAGAGAAGCAGAGAAAAACTACAGCCCTCTTTCAAACACAGGTACCATGCGCTACTATGATGTTGTGTATCCTAGTCTATTTAAAAAACTCTGCTGCACTGATTTCAGCGTCTTGCAACCACTGCTGTATCGTTAAGAAACACTTGATGGACTTTCCGTCAACTTTTTTAAAGATTTGAGTCGATCTGTTTGTCAATAATGGTCAAATGTTTTCCACATTCTGGTCTAAAGCAGTTTTCCCAGCCTTCAATTTCAAACTATTATGACTTTGAATTCTGCATTTACGATTAAGAAAAGCCAATGAAGGAGATCCACACACATTTCTAATGCTGACCATGTGACTGACCCTCACCCTGCCCGGTAAACTCTACATCCTACACCGTCCTACACCGTCCTACACCGTCCTACACCGTCCTACCTAAGCCCTTCCCTTTGACCTTCTAGGCTACGGGAACGACGCCCGGCTGGCGGAGGCGCTGAGAGCAGATCCATCTCGGAAGGGCTCCGTGGTCAACGTTAACCCGGTCAACACTCGTCCTCAGAGCGACACACCGGAGATCCGCAAATACAAGAAGAGGTTCAACTCTGAGATCCTGTGTGCTGCGCTCTGGGGTAAGAACGAGGACACAAACCAGGGTGGCAGGAAACAAATGGATAATGGTTTAGATTTTTAGAAACACAAGCAATGACTGCGTTCCAACATCCAATCTTCCATAGTACATAGTACGCCGGAAAAAGATGTAGTACCTCCCAACACATAGCTTTTCAAATGCAGTCAGATGTCCTGCTACATTCAGTTGGACTTTGCAGTATCCAGTCCAGTGTGCTTTTCTGGACATTCTGACCCACAATCTTTTGCACAATAACGTCTCATATGTCGCGAGTATAAAACAAGCTTGACGGGCCATTTCACACAACGGACTGGGACGGTCAAAGTTAAATTATTATGACAAAGAAGCACATCCCAGTTGTATGGATGCTTCATGAAACAGTATGTATGTTGTGAGAGCAGCTGTAGTACGTATTAAACTAAAGAGAAACAGTATGTCAACAACCACAAACACCATCACCTAGCAGCTCTACGACACTCGTATTGGTTTAGTAGACAAAATGCTACGTATGCTTGTGGGGATGTTTAGATACAGCACGTTATTTAAGATTACTATATTTTTATAGGTTGAACATCCCTAAATTATGACCTCTTTAGTACACTATATGCCAGTTTTGGAGGAATTTGTCGTCATATTCTGTGTCAAAAAGCTTTCTGATTATGGTGCAGCTATAACAGTCTTGACCACATGGTGGCAGCAAAGCCAATCACAATCCTACAGACACCTTAATCTGACTGCAGGCTGCCTCTCCAAGCGGTTTTGGGGTTGAGTTTGTATTTATGTGTGTGTTTGTGTAGGCGTGAACCTGTTGGTGGGAACGGAGAGCGGCCTGATGCTGTTGGATCGCAGCGGTCAGGGGAAAGTTTATCCTCTGATCAACCGACGGCGTTTCCAGCAGATGGACGTCCTGGAGGGACTCAACGTCCTGGTCACTATATCAGGTACACAAATACACCTTCACACATTTCTGCAGCCAGATGAGTCCCACGTAGATGAAGAACTGATCGATGAGATGAAATGAATCTGTAACCTCACAAGACTCTCAAATAAAGGAAAATGCACTCAATTAGAGACAGAATCATGCATGCTATAGGACTGGGCAATAGAGCTGAAACATTTTTTATGGTGAAAAATTTTTTTTGGGTCAGTACAGATCATCCATCCATCCATTATCTATACACCGCTTAATCCTCATTAGGGTCGCGGGGGGGCTGGAGTCTATCCCAGCTGACTCAGGGTGAAGGCAGGGGACACCCTGGACAGGTCACCAGTCTATCACAGGGCTACACTTAGAGACAGACAACCAAGCACACTCACATTCACACCTACGGACAATTTAGAATCACCAATTAACCTCAACATGTTTTTGGACTGTGTGGGAGGAAGCTAGAGAACCTGGAGAGAACCCACGGGGGTGGGGGAACCCCCGCTGCACGGGGAGAACATGCAAACTCCACGCAGAAAGATTCCGGTGCCCCCACCGGGACACGAACCGGCAACCTTCTTGCTGCGAGGCAACAGTGCTACCAACTGCGCCACCCTGCAGCCAGTACAGATCATTTTTATTTAATTTTTAATGACCAACCTTATCTATTGAGGTACAAGGGCTAATGTTAACACACCCATAAAAATAAATTTACACACATAAATGAAATCAAGGACGGGTAAAGGAGGGATCTCACCTTGATAAACGTTAAATAAAGCAAGAAGGTAAAACCTGGATTCGCACAGAGTGCTTGTGAGAAGAAATGGGTGCACAAACACACACAGACTTAAGTGTGCAGTTTAAATTAATTTTTAGGTTTCACTTCTGCTTATGCTGCTGTGACAGCTCGTAGTGCTCAAATAGGTGTTTTTCAATGTGTTTTGTCTACTTCTGTTCCCGGCTTATGCACATGCCCACATACACACTGGCAAGTCCACATAGAAAGCCTGAACAGCATACATGGTCTGAGAAAAAAAGTGTTTTGCATAGATATTCTTATTTGAACACACCAGACACTTGAGGTCTAACATTTCTCAGACTGAAAGTGCATCCACATTCTTACTTCTCTTCTTTCATAATTTCACACACACACAGAAGCGGCGCAGTCTTAAATGTCACAACGGATATTTTGAGCCAACCGGATGTTGAGCAAAGCGCCACTAAGTGAGACCACGTCATGTGTGTGTATACTATGTAACACTGACACACTCACTAGTTTTCCATGATGGAAGGAAATACTAGGATGCAAGGAGTTGCACACGCGTCAGCTTCCTTCCGTGAAACTCATTTGCATTGCCGGCATGTGAAAACACGTCACGGACAGCTGCATGTGTTGTGACAAACAGCGTCTAAGACCACTCAGACCACATCCTCACAGATTCTCATCTTTTGTCATCGGATTTCTAGGAGACAGCACAAACAAACGTCTTACACATTAAGCATAAGGTAGCTAGCGTGTGAAATGTATGCACAGCTTAGCATCTTCAACAACATCCTGGTTTGTTATGACGTTTGTAAAAATGGACAGCATGTCTCAGTAATAAACAGCTGCACAGAAAGCCCTCGCCATCCCTCCTTTATCTACAGTAGCTTTTCTTTATGTTTTGAGCAATACACACAACAAGAAAGGGGACTTCATAGGTTACTACAGGCTGTTTTCCACTGCAGGAACTTGTCCTGTAAAACCTCTTTCACGGCTGTTTTGTACTCCCTTGAAAAACCACTGTGCCAGTCTCCACAGTAATGGGTTAAACTCAGAGAAGGCAAATGGTGATTGCTTACAGTTGGAGAGGACAACATTTTTCTGCCCTCTGGATGCCCTCATTGAGTAGCAGGCGTCTCCTATCTAACGTCATCCTCAAAGATGTAAAAATCACCTCATAGGCTAACATATAAAAGCTCAATTTTTCTATTTCCTACATGCTGGTAAAACATAACCACAATTTGTTGTTGCGCACTCTGAGTTAAAATCATAGTCGAAACTGTTGGATTCTGCACCACAATTGAAACAAAAAGCCTGACAGGGGCCATTCCTGTTAACTGTGTGCCACATCAAGCCTGCCACAAGTTCCTGCAGTTGAAAGCCACCTATTATCTGAAATGATCCATGCTTGCCCTTTCTATCAATCCTCTGACTGCACCTCTACACACACTGACACTGAAATGTTTCTTTGCATAGCTTTATGCCAACTTAAAATGTTGCAAAACACTGCAGACCAACAGGAAGGAGGACGAAACCCCCACCATAGGATCTTCTAGAATATGTTATGTTGTTACTTCTAGACTGATTACTGCATCAGTACAAAAATGCAATCATGTAGAAGTATGTCAAATTAAAACCTGACAATTGCTACAGGCTAGAATGGAATCTCAGAAAATTGTGAGCAGTCAGTTTCAAGTTTTTTTGTTTTTTTTATGGAAGCATCTTCATTGTATCACACTGTGGCTTGTGACCTTCATCGGAATCTTCACGTTCTTCTTTAAAGTGGCGACACACGTGCAGAGGAAGCAGTCAGACTGACAAATGCCAAGCTGACAGTGTCATAGTTTACTACGGGTTTAAAGAACGTACATTTATTTTTGAGTTTCAGAGAAAAATACACAGCAAGTAGTACATGAAACTGCATTATTTGTGCCTGTTAACAGATTTTTAAGAATTTTATGCAGAAAGTCGTACGGATTTGGAGGAAAGCTAATAAAGTTGTGTTCCCTTCTTCCTTCTTTTATTTCTTGATCAATGACAGGTAAGAAGAACAAGCTCCGTGTCTACTACCTGTCCTGGCTGAGGAACAAGATCCTGCACAATGACCCCGAGGTGGAGAAGAAACAAGGTTGGACCACCGTAGGAGACCTGGAAGGCTGCGTCCACTATAAAGTTGGTAGGTAGTATTATAACAGGCTGTGCTTCTACGAAGTCATATTTCAGGAATTCATATGGACAGAAATGTTGCATATGGGTTACTAAGCAAGTAATCTGAAGATTAAAGATCCTTGTTTTTATCTTGTTAACATGTCCACATAGTGTGTCTTTATGTGCTACAAGACATATGAGTCATATGACAGAGGAAAATTGCAGATTCTGAAATTCTAGAGGAAGTAACAGTGTAGAGTTACATCAAAGCTGTTTTGAAGCAGGAAGGGATTCTCATGGGAAAAACTTGTAAATATGCAGTTTTGATACACTGAGATGAGTTTTTAGGGGTTAAGTCAACAACCAGAGAGGGACTTCAGGCATCATTATGTTTGTGTTTCCTTGTTGTTTAAGGTGCATGCCATGGATTTGCAACCTCTTGGTTCTATTCTAGTCAAAAATATTTGTTGCATGTCATCACCACAGTCTCTCTTCACAATCTAAGATAGATTAGTAAAGATTGGTCTAAGGTGATACTTTTGTGTAAGAAAGGATAAGCTCATGATTGGCACTTTGCAATCTACGGGAGTATGTCCAAATACTGTAACTTCATCGCTTTCATCGCCGCCTCGTTACGAATCCTCGTCTCCGGTCAGATGTGGTCAAATTACGATTGAAGCAGGTCACTTCGAGTAACTTAACAAACTCTGTGTATGATACAGAGTGGATTCATGTGTACGTGACGAGCATGGCACGGATAAACGATCGAAGGAAAGGCCTTGATTGGGTAACAGTGCGGTAAGGACATCCGAGTGGACGTTAAGTGACACTGTCCTGTCTAAAACTCAGAATGTCCTTGATGTTTTAGTGCCAGTTAGCAACGACGGACACTTCCTGTTGGAAACCCCTCTCCCTTCACCAGAAGTGTCAGTCACAAAATTCTTTTCCTGTCAACGAGTTTTATTCATGTGTGTCCATCAGTTTCATGAAACAACACTCATGGAAAGTACAGGACTTTCCAAAGATGAAGATAGAAGACCCCTTGCTAAAACAGAGCAGATATGAAAAAAAAAACTGTCAGCGGATCAGACGACGTGTTTTTTCTGTAACTTTACCTCTTGAATGTTTTGCAAAAGTCATCTTGTACTGTGGTCGGGTCAAGGAGAAGACCTAACTGCTGCTGTTGAAATAAAATCCTTCCCTTTGTCTTTCATTCATCCCATATTCACAGTGTGCAGCTCATTAATCTCCTTCATGCACTGCACAGGGCATTTGTGAGAGATCCGTCAGAAAAGATTATAATTAAACGGTAAAAAATGAAAATAATCCAGAGGAAAAAGCACATGAGTGCAACATCAAAAGCAATACAAGCATTCTTTAGTTACATCAGGTTTACTGCTTTAAAAAAGAAGAGAGAAAAAAGGTGAAATCAGTAACCAAAGACTGACTCATTGGTACTGTGTTAAACCAACAGATTCACTACTTACAGCTCCCTACCAAACAAGCTGTAGTCATCAACAGTAGCCAAAAAACTACTGGTGCCAGTTTCATGTTGTGATGACAGATTTTTCTGATTCTTCCTTTTTTTCATTTCTACTTCTTCAGTGAAATATGAGAGGATCAAATTTTTGGTCCTGGCCCTGAAGAACTCAGTGGAGGTCTACGCCTGGGCACCAAAGCCGTACCACAAGTTCATGGCCTTCAAGGTGAACAAATCAACTAGCTTAGCTTGTTGGTGCCATGTGTGGATTCAGTTTTGTTGTGTAATTTTATGTATTTTATAACCGCTTTATTATTTAGAATGCATGTCGATGGCCAAGCATTGTTTTCATTTTCGCTACAAATCAACACTAAAGTCGTTGTGAAGGTTGCCATCGATATCAATCATGTCTGCGTTAGTAAATATCTACTGATCTCAAGTTTGCACAAGAGAGGCGAGAAAGAAAACTAAACTTTGTGATGTGTGCTGCAGTCGTTCGGTGACCTGGTGCACAAGCCGCTGCTGGTTGACCTGACGGTGGAGGAAGGTCAGAGGTTAAAAGTCATCTATGGCTCATGCTCAGGCTTTCACGCTGTAGACGTCGACTCTGGGGCCGTATACGACATCTACCTGCCTACTCACGTAAGACCCTCACGTACCTGATATCATCACATGCATGTTTGCTGTGTGTTTAAGGACATTTCACTTCTTATGCTTAATCTGTTCTGTTGTTGTATGTAGTTAGGTTCGGCCTGCAGGATGTGTACAATATATAATATTTGTGGAAACTGAAGTTAAAATGCTTGACAGCTTGGGTGTATTAGCTGCCTTGAGTCACAACAGTCCAGTAAACTGCAGCTAGTCCAGTTAACTATCCAGGTTACTGTCGTGACTCAAGATGGTTTAGCTGAATCTGTCTCATAGTTGATCTAAAGTTCACAATTACAGACTGGGCAGACTGAAAAAGGACTGAGCTGAGTTCTGTTTATTGTGGATGTTCAGTAAGGAGTGTGGTTTCTGCTTTATTCAGTTTGTCCCTGCCAGGTAGCTCATGCTAGTTGGACACCGGTTTGAAAATAAGCATTAAGAATTGAATCAAATTGCTTAAAACGAATCAGACTTGGAGAATCAAAACTAAATCAAAAAGGGATGTATGTGCCAAACAACAGTCTTATTAACTCCACAGTGATTTGAGGTGCAGTAACTGATCGTAACTTCAGCAATTTAAAGAAAAACTTTCAATTAAAAACAGCAAATGCAACTGAAACATGTTCTGTTAAGCTTGAGAACTGTGAACTTCCAGCAGAAAAAAATCAGTTGTCTCGCTGTACATAGTGCTGACCTGCTGCACTTGATCATACATGTTAAATCGCTGTCCCAGACTGCCAATGCTTATGTAGATGATAAATAGGTCGAAGCACGGGACATAAAAAAGTCATCAGACATCATGTTACTTGTGTGTCGTTTCTCTCCAGATCCAGACCAACATCCAGTCTCACGCAATCATCATCCTGCCCAACACCGATGGCATTGAGCTGCTGGTTTGCTACGAGGACGAGGGTGTTTACGTCAACACCTACGGACGCATAACCAAGGACGTGGTGCTGCAGTGGGGGGAGATGCCCACCTCAGTGGGTGAGTCACTGGGACAAAGGCTACACAAACACATGACTTGCTGTTTTTCTGGATCAGTGTCCCCGATCTTTTGGGCCCACAACCTATATATGAACCTCTTTGTTATCCTCATTATTCTTCTATTGTATTAGGAGAGATTTCAACACTGTTTCATTATTTAGTGTGTGTTACTTTATTGTTTGTGCTTAAATACGATTTTTAAAAAAAATATGACCTTTAATACCTCTCTCCAGCCTACATTCGCTCCAACCAGATCATGGGTTGGGGGGAGAAGGCCATAGAGATCCGCTCGGTGGAGACTGGCCACCTGGACGGCGTCTTCATGCACAAGAGAGCCCAGAGACTCAAGTTCCTCTGTGAAAGAAACGACAAGGTGAGACCTTCATGTTAACTTTCAACAACTGATTCGTCAGTTTTAATAGTTACGTAGGTCCAACTGGCAGGGAACGTTCCCACAACATTGGCTAACATTATGTACAAGTTCTAATAATGATGTGAAGTAAACATTTCAACCTAGTGTTCAAAGAAAGCCCTGTGATAGACTGGTGACCTGTCCAGGCTGTCCCTGCCTTCGCCCTAAGTCAGCTGGGATAGACTCAAGCCCACCCGCGACCCTCGTGAGGATTAAGCGGTGTATAGATAATGGATGGATGGATGTTCAAAGAAAGTTTTAAGGATATTTATCATTTCAAATAATATGACTATAAGGCTAACGAGAGCAATGCTTTTAACATTCAGAGGATGTTGTCTGGGCCTCAGATTACATGATAACAAAGCAGCAACGTTCTCAAACCAATATTCAAGAAATTTTATTAAGATGCTTTCAAGGCCTGAGATCACAGAATAAGTTGAACATTTCCCACAATATTCTGAGGATGTTGTTGAGGTAACACATGACAGAATGCTCTGTTAAAAACATTTCCACGGTGTTAGATGGTAACGAAGGAACGGCATTCTCAGAGCAACATTCAGAAAAAGCTTTAAGAGGGTGCAATATTCCAACAGTGTTATCCCTGAACATTTTTTAAATGTCTTTAGAGAACCAGCCTTCAAGAAGAATGCACTTAAAGTTCCAAGCATACATAGAAAAAGCTTTCACCTATAAACATTGCTAGGGCTTTGCAGAACTTCCACAGAACGCTTTAAAGCAAAGAGTCTAGGTGCAGTAGTACTTCTAGTAATGACTTTACTAGATTTTAGGATTTGCTCAAATCTGAGCTCATCAGTCAGCTTGTGGCTACATGAGGGGGTATTAGACACTGTAAACCACAACACAGAATAAACATTCACACTATTGACTACACAAGAAAGGTTTTCTGATGTCTTGTTTGTCCCAACCCTCTCCTGCCATTCAAACCGATTTTGATTTAATTTTTTTTTCCAATGCTGCCATTTTCTGCTTTCCTTAACATGAAAATTACTTGACATGAAAGTGTCTTCATGCACAAAAAAACATCTTGAAAAATGGCGACCTGTGTTTTCCAAAGCCCAAGATAACATCCTCACATCTTGTTTTGCTTCAGAGATATTCAGTTTACTGTCACAGAGGACTAAATATGACTTGATTTTTTTATATTTAAGAAGCTGGACTTACAGACTTTGTACTGTTTAAGAAAGTACTATAACCAGTTGATGATTGGTTGAACAATTGATTGATCACTTGATCATTGCAGCGCTCATGCAAGTAGACACTGACTTGTCTGTGAAGTTTCTCAGTCATCCAGGTCATGGTTATTCTCATAGTTTAATCGTAGCAACTGGACTTGCTTGAGTTCCTTGAAGACGTTCCATCTCTCATCCAAAAGGCTTCATCAGTTCTGACTGACTAGTTGGGAGTTCCACATACTTATCTTCTTTAAGAGCCATTAACACATCAAGTGAAGCCTCTTGGATGAGAGGTGAAATGTCTTTGAGGAACTCCAGCAAGTCCAGTTGCTACGATGAAACTACGAGAATTGACACTGACTTCCACACAGAGCATTAAAAACGTAAGCATAGCAGTGGAATTCACTCAGATCCTCTAATGCCGCTTTCGGTTTTCTCAGCCTTTAGTTGTGGAAGTAGCTTCAGACTGCTCTAGTTTCTCTTCTCTCTTTTCTGCACGTGGCTAGTTTGTGTGGACTAACGAGAAGTCATATAGATTTTTTTTCCCCAACTTTATGTGGTTCTTCTGTGGACAATTTATACTGGAAATGATGTCAGCTGTTGAGGACTGTCAATTATGGGAACATTTAAGGATGCCCCCATTTTTAGCCCACAAACCAATTGGGTTTTCTTCATTTTTTTCCCAAATTGCATTGAGTGCTACAATCATATGTCTGCGTGTTGTCCTCAGGTGTTTTTCGCCTCTGTACGGTCCGGAGGCTCCAGCCAGGTCTACTTCATGACTCTGGGCCGAAGCAACCTGCTCAGCTGGTAGAGGTCCACACCCTTGCCCTCTTCCTCCTCCTTCTCCTCATCCTCCTCATTTCCTCCACCCTCGCTAACACTGGATCTCAGAACCCACCATTGATGTCTTGTCAGCCCTCGGACAACCAAAAGAGAACAAACACAGTAACCTACCAGCCCTTCGGAGCGGCCGACACCACCGACTTCAGCTTCCCCCGTGGAGCTGCAGCGAGGCTCTGGGCCCGCCTGTGACGCAGCGACAACCGGTCGAGTCGTCGCCTCCAAACCCCCCGAAATACCCGAAGTGACGACCTTGCGTACAAAATGAAATCAATGGTTAAATATATGAAAGGAAGTAGATATAAATTAAATGTGAATTCAAGAAAAGGAGGCAAACACCTTTCTGTTTCCCTCTCGGTTTTCTTGGTGCTCATCAGATTGCGATGGGATAGATTTTGTACCTCTGCATCATTTCCATGCTCCCGGGCTGGTCAGTAAGCTTGAGGTCTTCTAACTACTAGTACTGCTACCGCTATTACTACTACTACTACTACCTTCTGCAGGTCTGCCTCTTGTAAGGGAGTTCCCCTCTGCCCCACGTTCCCACCCTCGGCCCTTTCTTATGAGTGTGGGGCTGCCGGGGTCAGAGTCTGTCGTATTAATGCTACAGTAGTGTGTGTAAATGTACTTCTGTTTGGTCCAATTACTGCTGACATGCTGGTTAGAGACTGGTTAGAGTCAGCCGGGGGGTAAAGTGGTCAAAACCCCAGAGCCAGAGGGACTCTTCAAGGTGACAAGCAGGCGGAAGGGACCTAATAATTTTAAGGTTTTACTGTAAGTCTAAATGATAGGACTCAACAGGAGGGTGTGTGTGTTGAAGTATTGTGTTGTTTTGGACAGGTGCTTTAAAAAAAAGAAGAAAAAAGAGAGAGGGGGAGCGAGAAGGAGATGATGAAGCAGACGGATTTCAGAATAGTATTTTTTTGAATCATTACTATTATTATTATTCCTTGAAGATAAGTGTAACTATGTGGAGTTAAACATGTCTTTTACCTTGTTTTTTTTTGTTTTTTTTAACATTTACGCACATCAACCCACAGTCCACAAATTTGCTTGCTTTTACTCTAAAACCACAGATGTTTAAGGTGTGTTTGTATAAGAAAAAAAAAAAAAAAGTGATGTGGGTGTGATCCAAAAAAACTAAACAAAACAAAGGTGTCTATGTACAATAAAGTTCATTTAAGCTTCGGGATAGTGTCATTTGTCATGTTTTCCCTCCCAGCGGTCAAACATGACAACCTAAACTGAACTCGAGATGCGTCAACTGCTGTGAATAGTCAGATATTACATGAGGAGAAAAAAAAATGTGATAACGGAGTGATAAAGTAGAGGAGAAAGTTTAGTATGTGTGTGTGTGCTGTCGGAGAGTTCAGTGACATTGATGAATTGGATTTACGTGGCAGAGAGGTAAACACGTGGTCAGCAGGTTTGTTTCAGGGCAGGAGGCGGATTTTCTATCTTCCATTTTGTTATTTCAGCTCATTTCACCTTTTCATTTATATCATTTGTATGTATTCAATGCACTAAGTGTCAAGAATGTAGAAAGACTTATTACTGTGTGGTGGTCCAAGGCATGAGATGATGTTTTTTTGCTTTGTATCTTGTCACAAGTGATCAATCCTAGATGTTCAATTTCGAGTTAAAAGCTGCAACAGCAGAGCCTCTACGTCAGGTGTAGATATTTTCGACTTCTGTATTTGTTTCGCTACCTTTTCCGCAGCTGTGGCAATCTGCACAGAAGCAAATGAGTGTATCAGAGCTACGGAGCGTTTTTCCGCCATCCTGAGAGTCCTGCTTTCGTACGTCAAGCACGCCTTCCCATCAAATGAGGACATGAACTTCGTCAATTCAGCACTCGGACTCTGGATTTCAGTGTTCCTGTGATCTCAAAACAGAGCTTTTCCTCACTTGTTTAAGAAACGAAGACGGAAACCCACTTTTCGGGAAGGATTTGTTTTCTCTGTTTTTTGCCCCCCTCCCACATTTCCTGCTTCAGCGGTTATTTAAGTTGTCTGTATATGTGAATGACTGAGCAGCAACCTGCAGCACTGACCTCCTTCAGGCCATCTGCCCAGCTGGATTTTCCTCTGTTTCCAAAGCGGCTGTCAAAGATTGCACATTGTTCACTCAAAAAAAGGGGGCAAAGGAAAGTCTATATCTGTGCTCTGACTTCATGTCCAAACATGTCCTCGTCAGGTCACAAACAAGTTAACCTTGGGTGTGTTTTTTCCCCCATGAGCAGTGCTTAGACATGTGAAAAGGTTTCCTAGTTTCTGTCGCAGACTTTTGCTCCCCTTGTGTGGAGAAGCCGTTTGGACCCCAATGCTGTTGTCTGAGGTCTGTGTGTGCAGTAGTACCCAGTGTGTGTCTCTTATTGCATCAAGGCCTTGATGAGTGGCTGTATTGACTTTAATGAAAAAATTGTGGTTATTATTGATATTCTTAATGGGCTAAATAATGGACGAGATATAAGTTTGATATCTGACGAGAAAAAGCAGCCGCTTGTTGGCTCATGTTGGAAAAAGTGCCAAGAAGGCAGCATTTAAAGCGTGTAAACCTATTGTTATGAAAACCACTACTTGGAAATCCTTTTTAAAAAAAATCACTTGAAGCATTGTGTATTCTTAAGTTTTAGAGCTAGTTGAGAAGCTTAACTATAGTTTCCGTTGTTTCTGTAAGTCTATGTACACATAAATATGCGACTGCGGTGGTTTAATATTATTACTCACCTTAGGTGGAGAAAATGTTTACAGAAGCAATGTTTTGTTACACTAATGTGCATCACGGTATTTATGTTTAATGCATCTTGGTTCTTTAATACTTTGTTTCTGCTTTTTGAGCCCAGTTTTTATTGGATATTTTAAATTTATTTTGGTCATCTCCCCTACCCCACTAACTAACCTACTTGCATAACAATAAAGAACACACGTGTTGTTCATTTCAGGTATTCACATAACGCTGCTTCAACATGGAAACATTGCAGTGAGTTTCCCTGCAGGCTTGGACGTAAGGCGACGTGTTTTCCCTCTGCTGTTTCTGCCATGCTACTCTAACTTATGTCCTCTCTGTGTATGACAGGAAGTCGTGTATTTTCCTGAAGGTTTTTTTCTTTGAATAAACTTTAAAAGTAATTTTAAAAGAAGAGTTTGTCCTCTTGTGTCTGGCCTCTGCTGCTGCTTGTTCCCTAAGCACACATGGAAATATGTTGAAAAAAGACATTTTGTAATATATGTTGGGTCACTCAAACACATTTAACACGTCAGTTGCACATTTTGTTCTATTTCCACAGATTAAATTTTTGCTGACTGCTACTTAATGGAAATCTAACAATGTTTGCACGAGACCTGCAGGCTGCACTGAGCCCAACAGTAGAAGGGATAGTCAAAGTACACAACTATAAACTATTTGTTCATTGACAATAATGTCAAAGTAGCTGCTCGTATGAAGGATGATCAAAGAGGATATTGTTGGTGTGTTGTAAATTTCGACTTCTTGTTGATGCCATCCTGTGGTGTTTGTATGTCTGATCTCAGTCTGCGTGCGTGTCTGAGCTCTGTTGAAAAGAGAAGTAATGACAAATCTTAAGTTTCTAAGGATGTCTTATGCAAGGGGCCCTTTATTGGCATGACTGGTTTTCTGCATGAGGAGTTTCCTAAACAATTTCTTTGACAGTTTGTTGCATAGGAGCAGCTGTGTGAAAGTGTTTATTGCTCTCTTGTTTCTTTAACAACGTCTAAAATTTCTGTGACCACCTTAAACAGCCAATTTAAGCTTTATGTGTGTCTGCAAGGGTATGCATGACTTCATATTCATTGACCCAAGTTTGCAAGGGTATACACAGTTGTCTCTGCAAACATAATATTTGTGGCCACCCACACTGCAAGAACACCAACTGCAAAAGAACAGCTTGCTATGAGGAGAGACTGTGCGAGGAGGTTCTCAGTTATTCGCACCTTTAGAATTAATCACAAAAGATTTGAAGTATAAGGTGCTTTTATTTGTACATTCTTTCCACTGATGTTGTTCGTACTGTTAACTTCCCACGGTGGGAAATTCTGAATTCTCCAGGAATCCTTGACGAAATATATATTTGTTTGAGGATAAATAAAGTTATTTGAATTGAATTGAACTGAATTGAGGGCTGCAAGGTGGTGCAGTTGGTAGCACTGTTGCCTCGCAGCAAGAAGGTTGCCGGTTCGCGTCCCGGTGGGGGCACCGGAATCTTTCTGCGTGGAGTTTGCATGTTCTCTCCGTGCAGCGTGGGTTCTCTCCGGGTTCTCCAGCTTCCTCCCACACAGTCCAAAAACATGTTGAGGTTAATTGGTGATTCTAAATTGTCTGTAGGTGTGAATGTGAGTGTGCTTGGTTGTCTGTCTCTAAGTGTAGCCCTGCGACAGACTGGCGACCTGTCCAGGGTGTCCCCTGCCTTCACCCTGAGTCAGCTGGGATAGACTCCAGCCCCCCCGCGACCCTAATGTGGATTAAGCGGTGTATAGATAATGGATGAACTGAACTGAGTTGATATATCCGCCCACTGTGCTCACCACACCTCAGGAATGTTACCTGACACAGTGCTACAGCCCAATCTGTAACTACATGATACCAACACACACCTTTTTTTTTTTTAGCATGAATAGAACTTCATGCACATTCAAAGATTTTTTCATTCGTGCAGAAACCATGAACAGTTTATACAATGCACTTCATCAGTAAAAGCTAAACTGAAATGTTAAGAAGTACACAGCATTTGTAATTCACTGATACGTAAAAATCATTTAATGTTGTGATAGGATGTGCACTTCAGTGCTGCAAGTGGCAAAAAGAGTGAACAGGATGTTTTTTTTTTTTTTTTTTAATTATTTCTAAATTGAACTTTCCCTCTTTAGCTGATGTTGTTTTGCATTCCATTTGATCTATCTGAGTGATCTAGGGGCTTCTTATGTCTCCTAATGATGAGGTGCAATAAAAGAGACCTACATTAGACATGTTTTTGTGACAACTAGTAGGTGTGCATCTGTAATTTGTCTACGGACTGCAGACTGGAGAAGCAATCTCCAAGAACAGAGGGGGCAAATCAGGCCAAGAGCGCACAAGGAGCATGTTCCTTGTTTTTCACATTGTGAAACTGTGTACCGTGTATTAGTCCCTCAGGGTTGGACTGTGAGAGGGAAAACATTCGATGTAAGTGACCTGAACTGTGACACAACAACATGTGGGTCCGTCCATGCGCTGTACATCCAGTCACAGTGATTACAGGTCACAAGCTGTGACCAAAAACCCACCTGTAATCACTGACGTCTTCCGACAGTTAAGGTCAACGGTGATCAGAAAGGTGGGTTGTTATGGTGCTGGAGCAGGTGGAGACAGCTGTTGAACAATGGCTAAACAGCTATCTTTGAGCCACTTTAAAAAAAAAATAAGAAAATTCGGAACATCAAGAAGTGCTTACTAACACAGGGAATGAGGGGAACAACGTCATCATTGCCATCCCAGGAGAGTCATGCTTTTGTGCTAATGTACAATGATGATGATCATGATGATGATCTCACTGGACGCCTCAAAAATTTGACAAAAAAAAAAGAAATGATTGAGAGTTCGGATCATGATGACATTACCAACGCGTTTAACTCAAAGCCCAGAAGACTCTGCCTTGTGTAAAACCTGCCAGTAAATAAGTGGTTTTATTTTATGTATTCTGGCCCGCCGTGGCACGTTATGATTGTTGTTGTGTAAGAAAGTTACACTTATTCGATTTATCTGACCTTTAATTTCCACGGCTGTGCTGTGTCAGGAGGATTGTGCGCACTGAACTGTCCAAGGAGTCAAACTGGAGCAAAGCAGCTCTGTGTCTGTCACTTCACCTGTAAGGAAGAGTGAAGTTCTGTGCGATTAGCTAAGTAAACCGAGGAAAACATGCCTCCCGTTGAATAGCAGCAAAACAATAAACCTTCAAGTAATCTCTGTAAATGCTCTCTTTCTCCTCCTCGTTTTCCCCTTTGTGTCTTAACAGTGAAATTTAACAGAGGTCCAATTGTGGAGTGTAGATCTCTACTGCTGTATATCCTCTCATAGGTATACATATTCTCTGTATCATAGGCTCATTTACAGTGGCCGGACAGATGTTATTATATCATAAAACTTTAACACACACACCTCATATCAGCTTTAAAAAATAATCGGGCCATTTTTTTTTTTTTTCCAGGCCTACCCATTAGCCATGTTCTGGCTCCAACACTGGTCACAACACCACAATCTGGTTTCCTTCTCTTCCACAAAATGGAATAAGAGTTGCTTTTTGATACAGTTTAGAAGAGTCAGTACCTGGTACAGATGGTGCTTGACATAACAGGACTTTCAGTGTGAGAGGGTTGCCAAATTTAAACTGGGTGCAGTCTATTACTTTGAAGTCCTTATTATATTATGCCCATCAGTGCCTGGTAAATCTCTCTGTTTTGCAGCATACTCGTGCAAAATATTAATGTCTGTGGTGACATTCCCGTGCTAGTGCAATTTAGCAACGTGTAAAAAAGGCCTCTCATTGTTCAGAGGAAGGATGACTCTCACTGACCGAACGAGACAGTAAAAGTCCCTCTGCAGGTTGGTGCAATCATTTCCAAGGCTCCCCAGTTTGCATTTGAAAACCTTTAGCATGACTCATGTTCCATAAAGCTTCGTAATATTCTAAACAAAAAGAGTAATCCTGCCATACATTTCAAATATATATATATATGTTTTTTTTATCTCAATTTCCAGTTGGGGAGGATAATTTGGTTGAGATAGAGTTACATTACCTTATAAAAGTTAAAGGTCATGGCTAAACATGTAGCCGGACGTTTGGCACGTTTGGTGTTGAAACAATGGCATTTATTTCCTGAGTGGTTTCCTGCATGACCCAGATACTATAGCGCGCACATTGGCACATCTTCCCCAGTAAGACCTACTGCATCCCATCTACTAAATGTGCAGGACTTTAAATGTTTGCTTCACCAAAACAGTTTATTTAAAGATGCCAACACTGTGGCTATGCTACGGTTTAGCTTAATCCTTGCATCTGCATTTTACTGTGCCCCCAAAACTCTTTTTGGTCATGCAGAAAATTCTTAATTAACTATTCAATTGATTTAATATTTAATTCCGTTGTGCTTACCGTGTACTAATATGCTGAGTCACTGTAAGGTTCACTCCTCAGTGAAAGAGAAACAAAGCAGGTGTGTTTAATTGTTTAGTCACCTGTCCACTGTTATCAAGAATCCAAACAGCACAGACACTGAGGCGATCTTGAAAATTCCCAACACACGCAACATCTTCTGCTTTCTCAATGACCAGTTGAGTTAAATGAACGCTATGTCCTGTGTCTATCACCTTTTAACCTGTTCAAGACACAGACTGGTTTTGTGCTTGCTTAATACCCATTGTATACTGAGTATCATCACTCCCAACCCTGACTTTTGAGGCCAAGGATATGCTTACTTTTTCCACAGAAGAATATTACTTCTATTAATGTTTTTGGTGAATAAATGACTGATGAAGCTCATTTTCCCTGATGTTGTGTAAATGCATATGAAATATGTCTGTAGCCACTGAAGACAGAGGATCATATGTTTGTCTAAATATGTCACAAAAGATAACAATCTGAACAGAGGAACAGCTTTTAAATCCCATGTCTTGCCGAGGCCTATGTATTAGTTTTAGATGCTTTTTTTTGTAGAATCAATCAATCAATCAATCAATAGTACTTTATTAATCCCTTACAGAGAAATTCCATTCACAGTTACATCTGTCAAATAGATTTATTGTAGATAGAATAGATTTGTGTGAAAAATAACTAATCATCTGCTGGATCAATTCAACTTTAAATACTCAGCTTGTAAATAAAGATAATTCATTCATGAAGCCCTTAAATCATGTGGCACATGGTAATTGCAGCAGATTTAGATTAGTCTGTTTAATGAGGACGTCCCTTGTCTGTACAACAATGCAATGCTGAATGATGTTTCACTTTCTAGTGGGACACAGTCTCTAAGCTGCTCACACATCAGGCAGCAGACCCCCCGTTACTGAAAAATGAAGCCAAGAACTATATTTGAGGCTTCAAAATACTTTTTAGAAAACCTGTGGGTGACGTCACGGAGGGTTCGTCCATCTTTACATGCAGCCAATGGCATTCATAGGAAATGAGGGGCCAGGACAATAGACTGTGCCTAAAATAGAGATGTAGTGGTTGTGACGTCACCTTTTGGTTTGTAAACTACCATTTCAAAGCCTGAAGTCTGGAATTTTGCGGTAGTCCCCATGGCCTTTTGAAATTGGAGTGAGCTAAAGGTTGACACTATGCATGCCCATTTGGTCATGACCTGTCCAATAACCCCATCCTTAAACATATTATACTCATGTTTAAATTAACTTAATCCTGTATTCCACAAGTCTCAACACTAGCGCCCAAGCCCACAAAGCCATGAGGAAGACGTCCTTTCTTTATAGACTTTACTTCAATCAGACTTCTCTATCTAACCAGAGGTGTCGCCCCCTGCTGGCTGGTAAAAGAATGCAGAGTAAGGCACTTGCACATTTGCTTAATTTTTCAGGTTCATACACTTGTGTTTATATGTAATATACACTCTATGAGTAGGACTAACATAGATAGACGTGTTCCCCTGTCATCATGTTGCCATTGTCCTGAAGTGTAGGTTAGTGGTGGGAAAATGTACACACATAAGAAGTTGCAACTTGTTAATTATAACAACTGTTTTAGAATCCCAAATCCATCCATCCATCCATCCATTATCTATACACCGCTTAATCCTCACTAGGGTCACTGGGGGGCTGGAGTCTATCCCAGCTGACTCAGGGTGAAGGCAGGGGACACCCTGGACAGGTCACCAGTCTATCACAGAGAATCCCGAATGAATATAAGAAAATAGCTGGCTGCCTTAAATGAGATGTTGCTGTTTTGCCAACAGCTGGAGTTAATGTAAAGCTCTGGGTATCCGTGGGCTTAAGGATGCAAAGTATCCTGCCTCTTATGTATGACAATCTGAGCAGACTAGAGAGCCTGAACTGTAAACTGTGTTTGGGTCTTTTGTAACATGTTCTTAATGAATCCCAAGAATAGTTATAGTAAGTATCAATGCTCATTAAACAGATTGTTTTTTAAATTTCTAATTAGAATAAAAGAGCATGGGTGATGGACTTAACTCTGTACTGTGTAATATTTAACAAAAACTGTTGGGACAGATCCTGATGGGAAGACATCATTTTACTAAACCTTCTTAAAGAACGTAAGTCTTAGTCATGTTTGTCTGCAACGGCTAATTCTGCTTGTAATCAATTACAAAATGGATCCAAACAGACCCTGAAACTATGGGACTGTTTATATTTCAATCACCCCACAGCTTGCATCAGTGCAGTCTGCTCATCCCATACACCCAGTCTATACTGGAAAATGCCCAGTCAGTATCAACATGTCACCCACAGTGAGTAACCCACAAGAATGCACAACGGTGGATACCGTATTTGCTACGCAGGGGGATGACAGAACAATGAGTCATCCCACTATTACACAGCTGTTTCTAGCACTTGTTTATACGATGATAGCTGGGCGCCAAATTTTTCTTCTTCAGCCACAGTCTGTATTTCTGTAAGAATACATTTTCAATACAACTAACAACAGCCTTCTTCAAACATTTAAAAGCCAAACAGATTGACTAGCACAAGGAGGTTTAGTGCCTTGCTTCAGTGCAGCCTGCGTCCTGTTTCTCAACTCAAACCTAACTTTCTAGGTTTCCTTTTCAGAAGAAGCAAAACTATCTGATGGGACCTTTCCTATCTAAAACTACATTGCAGTCTTTCAATCTAAAACTGCTGCTGAATTACAACAGCACTAATGTCTTCAAAATGTTTTCAATATAGTCAAAGCTTTTTGTAACCCAAGAAAACGGTTGACCCATTTCCAACAACCATTTCCTTTACTAATCTTTCAGCTTATACTCTGTAATAAGAGCAAACCTTACATTATTTTTGCTTATATTGATGTTACTGGCCATTATTTTACATTTATATACACAATACTGCATTCATATATGTATTCGTCTGATACAAAACAAGTCAGATGGCTATCAGGCTAATATAACTCATTGGCTTTGTCCGTTCTTTCCATCGAGCACTGTGTATCTAACAAACTTGCAGCGTGACATGCACAGATGTAAACAACTGCCACAGTCAGAGTTAACTTAAAAATATCCAAACCCATTCTCACATCCAACCTGAGCTTCAAGTTTTCCTCAACAAACTAGTGACAGAGAACTGTGTTAGGTGTACATGCTCACGTACCGCTCTGCCAGGAACAATAAAAGACAACAAACAAACAGGGAGTTTCACATATTTCATTACAGAACTGCTGTCTTGTCATTCACTAATCATGAGGTTAAATGTTACAGAAACACCCATAGAGATGTTATCACAGCCTGTGAGCTGTGCTCCTCCACCAGTTAAACCACAATAAAGAACTCTCCGATCAAATGACTCATTTGATATCTCTGAAACTGGTAAAGTCTTTCACTGATCATCAAATTATCAGCTTAAGAGCTCAAAAAACACAAGCAGATGACATAATAAAGCAACAGGTCAGAGGTGAATACCATCGTAGGAAAATGTTTTTATTACAACTCATAAAGTCGATACCAAAAATGTTCCATCTTAGCACAAGGAGTAACAAATAAAGGAATGAAATACAGTCAGATAATTATTTTCTTAGAGCGGCGTCAACAAAAGTGTGAGCCAAAGTCTGCCACACCAGACACTTTGGGAAATATGCAATTATTCACTTTTTTCCAAGAATTAAACAAGACAACCAATACCTCTCATGTCTGTGTCAAGTATTTACAACCTGCCTCCTAAAAATGACACTCCTATACAACCAAACTGTGTTCTCGTGTATATTTTGAAAGAAATTTAATCTGGTTTTGAAACAAATGTGTGTCAGCAACACAGCTTTCACCTTCTCGCCTCTTTTGTGGAAACATTATTATTAGACTTTACTTTCAGTTTTCACTTGCTGTTTGGTAAGATGTTGGCATGAAAATTACGCGGTTAGGTTTGGCAAAATATTACGTTAAGTTTGACACTTTCACAACAACGACTACATGTAGAAGCTGAGTTAAGTTTAGCCACCAAAACTATGTGATTAGGTTTAGAAAAATAACAACGTATCAGGGCTGTGAGGTGGCTCGGTGGTTAGCACTGTAACCTCACAGCTAGAAGATCCCAGATTCACGTTCCAGTTAGGACACCCGGGATCTTTGCATGTTCTCCCCGTGCAGCGTGGGTTCTCTCGGGGTTCTCCGGCTTCCTCCCACATGCTGAGGTTAACTGATGATTCTAAATTGTCGGTAGGTGTGAATGTGAGTGTGTTTGGTTGTCTGTTAAAGACAGTAATTTAAAAAAACAATAATGTCAAAGAACTCATCACAACTAAACAAAAGCAGCTCAGTTGTATGTAAAAGCCATTTTTGGGAGACAGGGCTGTGTATGGAGAAGGAGCCGCTGGTGATTTGTCTAGTTTATGATAAGGAGTGGAAGATCAGATCACCTTGCTCTGCCCAAACGTTCACCTACCACTCATTAATCAAACAGTAACAAGCAGAAAAGTTGGGTAGAAAGTAACCAAGCAATTACTAGTTTTCAGTGATTTAGAACCACAAGCAAAACTCCATTATATTGGGATGGCAAAAGAAACCCCAGGAACAAATATTTCAAAAACCTGACTAGATATTGCTATCTGTGGGAAAATGTGTTTTTGCAATGTGCTTGCACAACTCCTTACTGATTATTTTTTCTCATGCGTGGATAGCCTGTGTGTGTGTGTGTGTGTGTGTGTGTGTGTTTTCCTGTACTAAAACAAACAGAGATGTCCACCATTAACGCAGGTGGTGGGCCGTGCCAGAGAGCAGCAGGACTGACAGTTGTAAACAGTGGTAATACCCGACCACTGCCTTTTTTTAAAGAATGAACCTGCAGGAAATTGCTCTGGGTGACAACAACTGTAGCTCCTAAAATGTATATGGAGCAAGTCTGTGTGTGCTGAAGAGTCAACAGACATGAGTGGTGAGCTGTAGAGTACACTGCGTTACATTGGGAAACATGAGAAATTTCCATCTCAGAGGGGTGGGAACCTTGAAAAGAGAGCGAAGGCTTCCCCTGAGCCGATAGGAAACTGATCACTTGCTGCTCCAGTTCATGCTGTCACCACATCTGCCTGTCATCATCGCTGGAACCACAACGCTCACCTCTAAACTGTGAGTACACTGCACCACTGTGGAGTCACACATGTGTCTACATGCCCTCACATACACTGTATTTATCTGTGCAGATGAATGTTGGAGTACACATTCATAACATGGTATTACATTTACATTACAAACTAGTGTACAGTTACATATTCAGGATTCTTGAAATAGTATAACACACTGTATGTATGTAACATGTCTATTTATTATGGGATGTTAATTAGTATTTCCTTTGCATGTTGCAACATATTGTATAGTTTATATATAAAATGTACTTTTAACTCAGATATTTATATTTACATACATATCTAAAAGCATACTTTTTGACATCATAGCAAAGACTACTTTAATTTTCTGTTTTGAGCGTAAACTGTACTTAGGGTTCACTTACATGAGTTTGAGATTTGTCTAAAAATGCTAACACAAGCTGTTTTTCAAGGTGATCGTACATTGTTGAAACTATTTAGGTTATTTCCATGCATCCTTTTGTTTTACATCTTAGCAGAAACTACTTATAAATCATTTGAAATATAATTCAGTTTTGAGCACTGACTGTATCTAGAGTTAATCTACAATATTTTGAGATTTATCTAAAAAATGCGAACATAACCTGGTTATAAATGTTGGACAATAACTCCACATAATCCACCTAGAAAAATAATGAATTCTTACTCTCTCATATGTATGTATCCATATATTTTTTGTGAACATATCTATTCTTAAATCTCAATGTAATGTATTCAGAACAATACTTCATTTCAATGCATCATTTTTACATCATCACATTGGTACTTTTAAATATTTTTTCCAATCATTATCTTTTACCAGAGTTTGAAATGTATCCAAAAATAGTTATAAAAACATGTAATATTTAAAATAAAATAACTGACTGTGAGGAGCTTGACCCATAAAAATAAGCTCCTGTAGGATGCTTTTGAGCTTCAATCAATCTTGTCCATGTGGATGAAAGGGTTTCCATTTTTTCCTGGAAAATGTAACTCAATCCAGTGTGAGTCATGTTTGCATATGCACTTATAACGGTGGCACTCCTACAGGTTTTATGAATGGACTGCCCTTTCATGACACACTGAAACAAAGGCTTTACCGGGGGGAAACGATTAATCACTTGTGCATGCTGCATGTGTGGTTGTACTTGTGTGTGAGAAAGTGTTGACTGCTGTCAGCTGATTCCTCCAGTGAGAGGCGGAAAAGCAGAAGTGAAAATCAGCTTTTTTGTCTCTGACCAAATCCAGAAGTTTACCTTGAAGTCTGGAAGTCTGACAGCGGCCCAGCTAAAACTGAAAAGGAACAGGATCATACAGAGCAGTAATCAGGCTGTATTACTGAATACAAAATAGAATATATTAAAGTAATATGTGATCAAATGTGTGTCAGAATAATGGATGTGTTATTCTCCACCTGATGTATTCATATAAACAGAGAACATCAGGTGTAGAATAAAACACGTGTAAATAAGTGATGTTCACATCTAATAAAAACAGTAGATATTATTTTAAAACTGACTGCATGATGTATTACATTAAATGCTGTCTTGTTAATGTAAATGCACATATGGGAGTGGTAAAAGTAGTGTAGCCTCACTACCAAACATTCAAACACAGGGGAGACAACTGTGATAACTTCTAGATTATTGGACATGTCTTTAGCACTGAGGCTCAGACTAACCAAACCTTAACTACCCACTAAAGTCCTCTTTTCTAAGTTGTTTAAACAGCCAAAAATCAGGCCTACGTTTTTTTGTTTGTTTGTTTTTGGTTTTTTAAAATCATTAATAGTCACAAATGTTTTCTTTTTTTTCTTTTAAATGCTATTACCATTGTTAGTAACACATTTATTGCTGACCTCTGATCTCGGTGACCTTTACCCACTGAAGGTGATTCATCTCATGCGGCTAATTTAGCCTGTGAGCGTGGGGGCGGGACGGAGGGGAGTGTCACTTTCATGACGACTCTTCTGACATCACACAATCTACAAAAGAGATTAAATTAAAGCGTAACTTCTTTAAATTCCAACTTGAGGATACAGCATTGGCAAAACCACAGTAGCAGACAGGGCTCTCTTTACTTCACCTGTCAGTTTTCTGAGCTTTAATGTGTAGAGAAAAGTGACATTTTGTCATCCTTACTGTGGTTATGATTCCTTGCGAGTATTAAACTTAATACTAGGCCCACTTGTTCAGGCATCGCTACTCCTTTTGTTGGTGGATTTTTTATTTCGTTCTTATTTTTGCGTCCCTGCAGACTGCCATCATGGTGTACTGGGCACTGATGCTTGTTGTTGTCATCATGGAATGTGTTTGTGGGAAACCTCCGCTACCTCCTCTGCCTATGAAAGGTGAGCATGCTGTACATTATGCCACACATGTTGTATACTGTGACAAGATGCTGCAGATTAATGAAGAGTTCTGGGAGAAATGAAGAATGCCATGAAGAAGAACAGTGCTTCCTTTACTAGATGTAACATTATCACTAGTTACTGTGAATGAGCTCTTACTTTTTAAACATTTTTTTTGTACCAGATGAGACTGCCTGGTCAGTATCTAGTATTTAACCCCCTGAACCTCAAAACTCACTAGTGAGTTTAAAAGGCATGTTTTAAACTAATAATACCTAATCAGAAAAAAATACATTTCTGGCACAACATTACTGAGAATACAAATTTTCAAATGTCCAATAGTCCTTGAACTAATCATGCTTGACACCTGATTCTACTGAAAGAAAGTCAACCAGCTCTAAGCTTAGAATCAGATTTTATCTAAATCACATTATTTTACATCCTTCATTCATAAATTTGACAAAAAATATAAACAGTTTGCATAAACCCTCAGCTTCATCCTCATCCTGAGCTGTAACCAACAGGCATGTGACAAAAAATCAGACTGTGTTTGTAAAGAGTAGAGAGGAGAGAGAGATTTGGAATAAATCAGAGATTGAGAACAACACATTTGATCACTAAAGTAAATCCAGCATTGCTTAACAAACAGTACACAGAGGGAGCGAGTTGTTGAAGGAACATTCAGTACAGTGAAATATCTTTCTAGAGCGTCATAAAAACCATCCAGTTGGTAGAAGTTATAAAAATGTAAGTAGTTGGCACTTGGAAAAATGTTGTACATGTTGATTTCATTTTCATTTTTTGTTTGTATGATTTATGTCATAGCTTTCGTATAACTGCACAAAAGCCATTTTGAATTCTCTCTACTTCTTGCCATGGTTTTAATCAAGGTGCAGGAGTTTATATGGAAATAAAAAATTAGCCCATGTGATTCAAAATGCAACAGGAGCAAAAAAAAAACAACAAAAAACCTTCAGAAACTGTTTGGCTTTCTGAGGATAAAAAAAAATTAAAACAACTCATTCAACATTTGGACCTCCCTTTAAGGCTGAACATGTTATTACAATACCATTGGATTTAGATGCACATAAGGTTAACAAGCATGGTCGTCATGAACTAGAGTAGCAGAGTCAAGATATAGCCTCGTATCTGCTGCCCCAGTGAGCTGGAAACCCCACGATAAAAATGGTGTTTAATATAAGCCCCAGTACAATACATTGCTCTGACTGTAGTGTTTCATTCCCTGCAGATGGCTGCTACGTGATTTCTCCGGAGGTGGAGATATTCAGAGTGGAGGGCGAGGCTGTGATTCTCTACTTCCCAATGTTCATGAGAGTTCTGAAAGTACGCAACATTGCCCCTCCGACAGCCAAGTACTTCATCAGTAAGGACAATGGGACAGCGGGCGTGGAGTATCAGGGCGAGGGACGTGTCCAGCAGCATGACAAACAGCTGTGGTTCCTCCCAGCTCAGGCTTCAGACTCGGGGGAATACACCTGCACCTACAGGTAATCAGGATTTTAAAAAAAAAGGTCCCACCCGCACTTCCATTTTCTTTAAGCTCCACTGAACATAATTTCTGGATGGTGACAAGTGACAAGATTATTTCTTCTCACTTATTACAAGTCACTCGCAGCACCTTCTTTCTACCTGTGACTTTAACATTTCTATTCTTCCTTTTGTCTCCAGAAATGAAACCTACTGTGTAACTGGGAGCATCACGCTACAAGTGTATGAATCCACTTCTGTTGACATGAAAAAATTGTCCTATCCATTGTTGGCCACAGTGGGAGAAAAGCAGAGATTCGAGTGTCCTTCCCTAAGTTACTTCAACAGCACAGACAGCCTTATAGAGTGGTACAAGGTGAGTGGGAAAGGCCTGTTTGGACACTGAATGCATGTCAGCACAAGATTTTGTGATTTGCAAAAAAAAAAAAAGAGATAATAATCTGCTCCGTAAAACTGTAAACACTTGACTGTGGTTTTATACTTTACATTTCCAACCGGATTCCAGTTTTACCTGTAAAGGCTCATGTGCTCCAACAGCTCCCAGACACACAGTCGTCTTCAAATGTATTCATCCCCTTCCATTAAATGAAAGGCAAAATTCACAATAGTCACTCAAATAACTTGAAACTAAAAAGAACAATAAGAAATAAAAATTTTCTAAATTATAATTTAGTGAAATAAGACATTGCTTTTGAATTGTGGTTGATAAGAACAAAAAAAAAAAAAAAAAAAACTGGAAAATTAGGACAAAATCAAAATAGCTGTCAACAGGTGCAGAAGTCTGATTGAGAGTTACAGGAAATACTTGATTACAGTGATTGGCTCAAAGGTTGTTCAACAAAATATTAGTTTTCGGTTCCCATCATGCTTGTTTGCTTGTTTTTTTGTTTGTCATTTAATTTTTTATTTGTTATTACTTTTGTCAATTTCCACTTATTTCAGTGAGAGCTGTTTTTTTCCTTCTTTAATGGGAGGTATGAATACATTTCAGGACAACTGTAGCCATTTTACTTGCAGTAAACGCTTTTGGACATTTGTTTTAGTTCTTAGACCTTAGTCACATAAAACCTGCTAGACAGACGCTGCTAACTGAGGGTTTTAGTGCCATAGTGGGCCAAACCACATTTACTAGTTTTAGAGAAAATTGGGGTCCACATTTTGTGTTGCTAAAAAAAAAGTCCTGGCTGTTGGAGGAGTTATTATATGCATCCAAAGATGTTTCAACACTGTCCAGAGATAGAAGAAGCTACTCTGTGATGACTTATTTAAGTTTTAATTATATCTTTCCTTTTGCTGAGAGCCAAAGCGGGCCGTACCACATTTTCTACTTTTTGAGAAAAAAAACAGATTGATGGTTTATCTTGCTAAACAGCATTAAAGAGTTTACATGGGTCATCATAAAGAACTAGAGACACTTCTGAGGACCATAGAGTAGAAATAGATGCTTGGTGGTTAATTAAGTTTTTATTTTACCTTTCTGTACCTATGATTTGAGTTTTCACGAGGCTTGAGGTCACGCTGTCCGCCATCTTGAATCACAAACACGTGCAACTACCTGCACCAATCCACCCACCTCATGCCACACATTTTTAGCCAATTCATATTAAACATAACAGACAACTGGACACCAGAGGGAGGAAGTACTGTACTCTCTGATGAATACGATTAATACCATTCAAGTTGTTATGTCTTCTGTCTGCCAGCAGAGGTCTATATTACATTAATATTAATGTTAGCTTTTCAAGACTGCTAGTTATACATAGGCTAATCTCCCAACTAGCTGCTCCACATCCATGTCATTTTTCAAACTTCATAGTTTTCCAACTTCAACATGCACTGGCTGCAAAATGACCCCCTCATCAGCTGGATGTAGTCTAATCCCACAGCCAAATAAATAAAGTATTTTGCTTCCTGACAGGACTCCAGCACCACAGCTCTCCAGCCAGGCAGAGCAGGTTCCTCCCATTGGGACGAAGGAAAGCTAGTGATCCCTGCTGTGAGGCGATCCCATGCAGGTGTTTACACCTGCCAACTCAGAGTGCTCATCAACAACCAGCCATACAAAGTCAGCAGAGCCTTCCAGCTAAACGTGCAAGGTTGGTAATGTGTAATGTGATGTCTGACCGGCTCCACTGAGGAGTGTTGGCTGAATCTACAACAATGCTTTTGCAGGGTGTAATTTGAGACCCTGTACAGATGTGCAGGCTACTTCTACACAGCCGCAGAGTAGATTCTATATCAGTTTAGCATATCTCTTAGTATGCGCTGACCTCTACTGGTCAAACAGGTGAATCACTGCTGAGCTGAGCCACAGTGACAACTTAGTGTTACTAAAGTTGTAAGAAACTGAAAACTCTGTGAAAAATGTAATTACAAGTAATGTGTGAATTGAGCCATTGTTTGCTGTGGTTACAAGAGTTGTTTGTTTCAATGTGTGAATTTGTGTTTAATAGGCCAAGACCCCGAAATCACCACCACAACCTCTGTGCCGGACCTCTCCGAGACCTCTGACACGACGTTCCTCAGCAGCACCTACAGCACTGCTCACAGTGAGTTTTCTTTTGCGTTGTGAAATCAAAAATTCCCTATCTGGTCATCTAAAATTACTGATGAAAACTTCTTCTTCATGTCTTAGCTCCACTCGTACTGCCACCTGTGATTGTCTCACCTCTAAATGGAACCACATTTGAAAGTTCTCATGGTAAGTGTAACAAGCAGTCTGCTGAGTGAGATTTTATTTCTGCTGAATAAAGGTCTAATATATGTTCACCTCTGGTTGAATTTAGGCTCAGGACTGGAGCTGTTCTGCACAGTGCTCACTGAGTGTCCAATGGCTGAGTCCACTGTGGTCACATGGCTGGTGAATGACCAATCAGTGGAGACATCGTACCTGGACAGACGGGCTCTACAGGGAGGAAGAAGGTAGCCTAATCACAGATTTGTTTTTCCTGGATGTTTTGTCTCAGTCATGGAAAAACTCAAGTGTCTAGCAAAGTGAATGAGAACCCAACGTCAACTTAAACTCAGTAAGGGCAAAGTAGTAAAAACAAACAAAAAGCAAACCACTATGGCCACTATGAAGACCTCATATGGCAAAATAAGATGGATGCTTAACCAGTCATGTATATAATTATTCTTATTATTTTTTACGATTATGTAAAGTTGTTGCTTTTTTATTGGAGTTTCTGACATGTTTTAGTTTTTTTAAAGTGTGCGTTATCCCCCCCGCCATCTTTGACAAATAAACAAATGACTAATACTGCCTCTGTTTCCAGGGTAACCAGGGTGTATGGAGGCTGCCAGATTGAGATGAGGCTATTCATTACGATGATAACAGAAGAAGATGTGGAGACACAGCTGAAGTGCGTCACACAGAACACGGGAGGGAGACAGGAAGCTGTTGTCCAGCTTCAACTAGAGGGTGAGTTGCCTTTGACTCAAACAGCCTGACCCAAACGCTTTTGTGACTCATCAAATCAAGGATGTAAATCTTCCTTAAAATCAGATGATGAAAGTCTGCTACATCTTTCATACCACAGCAGAACCAAATCAACACTGGAATTATCGTTAGCAAGATCCAGAATACCAAAGCTCTGTATCAAAACATTAAATTACCTCTGTCTCTTTCTTTGCAGACTCTACGTTCACGTGGCTGGTTGTAGCGGCGGTTGCGGTGTCCTGCTTCCTGGCGGTGGTTTCTATTTTCCTTTACGTCCTCTTCAAACCCAAAAAGAACAAGAAAATGGATTACATTCTGGCTCGGCAGAACAGCACCTTCAGCTGTTAGTGTACACGCTCCCGCCACAACCAAAAACCTCCTTTTATGCAATGTTCGCATGTGGTTTCATGCAGTGGTGACACAATGTCATGCTTGGTGTTAACACTTACGATATCATGTTAAAGCAGCACTTGAAGGCATTTGGTTTATTTACACAGTTGCTGCAGTTTCCATGCATCTGTTGTCCTGTAGTGACAGAAATATCCTGCCTGACTGTTACACTGAAGTACTCCATCTCAAACATACACTCAGAGGCCACTTTATTAGGTACGGCTGTAAAATCCAATTTAGCAGCTCAGCTCCAAACTCTTGCATGTTTAGTTCCAATCACTGAAATAATTAATATGTGTTTATGTGTTTCTGGAGTGCATCACACTGAATGTAGTTTTTAATAGTCTTTTACCTTTATATTTGTCAATGGCATCAAGTCTGCTTGAATTTTTTTAGTAAGCGTAATTAAAAGAACAGTGTTGATGTCCACATGTACGGTACTTTTAAAAGGTAAAAGTATTTTACAGAAAAACTGCTGTAGTGGACAGATAGATAGATAGATAGATAGATAGATAGATAGATAGATAGATAGATAGATAGATAGATAGATAGATAGATAGATAGATAGATAGAT